CTAGAAGAATAGGACAAGTGTTTAGTCGTAAATAGTAACTTAAAAAAAGTTACAAAACGAAGTGACATATGACATGCATTAGGTGCGTTTAATTACGGGAAAACGGAGATGTATTTATAACTTTTACCGTGGTGTTAGGGAATTGAGGAGTGTGGAGAAGTAATATGCGTCCTCATTCACTGCTGTTATTAAATAGAAATAACGGTGCCTCATACTCATTACCCGTCGAGTTTCGACTTTCACTCTTGAAGATAAAAATGATGATTCCTTGACGTCAGATCTGATATGCTGGAGTAGTTACAATATAATTTATCACGGTAACGACCGCTGATAACTGTGGGAACTTGTCGAGAATCTAATATTTTAGTATCTTCTTTCCTGAAAATACAGTACTTTTATAGTAATGTTTTTTTTTCAATAAATATCTCTCCCACCCTGAAAAGGACGTTTTTTTAATAAGTAATTCCTCGCGCCAGAAGGGTCAATGAAAGGGTGGCTTTTATAAATTTGGTTTTGTCTAACTAGAAATATTTCACAGCGATTAATTAGATAATACTTCTCAACTACACAATAATCGCTAAAATACAAGACATAGTTTCGAAAAATTCTGTTTTTGTTCTCAAATCTCCGTTTTCATTCTCAAAATTCAAGTTGGCTAACAGTTTTTTTGTTTTGTTTATCTTCCATAGATATAAAAAATATCGTATAATTTTTATTCTGTTATTACTTAATATCAAAATTCAAGAAATGATTTGGAAAACGACACAATCAATTCAATTTGATGGGTTTTTAGAAGGAAAATCGAGAGTTTTTCGAGGTGTTAATAATACTTTGTAATGATCTTTGTTTAGTAGAGAAGTATCCATTTTCTCAGTGTGAGATATTTTTGATTCAGCAAAACTAAATATATAAAATCACTCCTTTGACCTATCCTTTTGGCGTAAGGGATTATTGATATAAAAACGTTTTGTTTTCAGATGGCAGAAAATCCAAATAAATACAGTAACAGAAATTGCCACAAATAAATAATTACAAACAATTCAAATTCGATCTTTTAGATCTAAAAATACTACCACGGCAACTGTTTGCTTTTTAATACGCAGTAAACTTTTAAGGGGCACATTAACATAAAAAAACTTCGCATAAGCTAACAAAGCTGTCTTGTTATTTCAGTGTTCTTCAATTATTCAATTCCGTGCCTGATCTTGATAGTTGCCGTACGCTGTTGTATTTTTAGTTGGAAGTTTATTTCTGCGTTGCTCTAATGATTTTTGCCTAACTGGAGTAAAAAAACCGTTTCATTTCTACTAATATAACTTTCATATCATCATGTCTCAAATCTAAATTGAAACTGGATATACACAGATAATCTCGAGAGGTACAAGTACCTCTCCAAATAATGTTTTTTTTTTCTGAACTTGATTTACCTTTATTAGAAATTTGGTTACTTCAAGTGTTTTAATTACATAGAACTCATTTTGTTTTTCTCGTTAAATAAAATTTATACAGGGTGATTCATTAACAGTGGGAAAATCGAAAGCTGAAGATACTACACGTGAAATGGTGACCATTGGCGCAAACATACCTTATCCGAAAGTTGATAGTTTCGGAAATACAGGGTGTTGAAAGTTAAAATTTTAAATCGTTTTTTTTTGCGATTATTCCGAAAATATGTAGGTACGTTAGGAACTTGAACATTTGTGAAACTATATTTTTTAGGCGACGAATAAAATACGTGTTGTAATTTCAGCATTGCTCATAGAGGGCGCCATTTACGACCAATTTTACCGAAAATTTAGTTAATAACTTTTTACTCTGTATGTCTAATAGCTGTTTTACATTGACAATTTATTGATCAATTAATTCATGAAGTCGCTTCATCAAGAAATTGGACAAGTGTAATGCACCAAATCAGCTGTCAAATAACTTCATGAATTTATTCATCAAGTTCTTGACGAATTAGAGCATGTTCTAATTTTCGTCAATTTCTTCGTGAAGTTCGGAAGTACCAACCCAACAGATTTCCAGCCTCAGATCAGTAATGAGGTTATGTTATTGGAATATGTAAATAATTGTGTGGCGTCGTACTAGTTTTGCATTGTTTTTACTGATTTGTTACTTACAAACACTAATATTTATATAATATGTGTCAAAACGGTACCGCTGTTGTATCACTGCAATTATGAGTGAAAAGGTGACTTTTTGAAATTTATTTGCTTCTTTGATTCGTTGGTAGAACTGATTTTCATGCGTCAAAAAACTTGACAAAGTCTGTAGCAGTGTAAAACCACACTGTTTACCAATAAATTCGTTAATTAATTCATGAAGAATCAATTCAATTTATTCATCAATAAATTGTCAATGTAAAACAGCTATTACATGAAACTTGATTCAAAACTTGAAAGAGCAATTATTTTTCCATTAATTATGTGTTCTTGTTTCATTTCGATATCTCGATCCATTTTCGAGAAAAATCGATTTAACGAACACTATGTTTTGATGATACGAGAAATTAAAAGCGAAACAAACTAAGTGTTTCTTCCTGTTATTACAACAATTAACAATAAAACAAATGAAATTCGTAATAATGATTTAAAGTCAGTGTTCGAAGAATTCACCGTTGATATTTACACACTTTACACAACGTTTTGTGAGAGATCTTCGAGTTTGAAACAACATGTTGGGATTGCGCTTGATTTCGTTGGCAGCGATTTGTACCTATTCTTTGTCACAACTCTTCACATGAACAAAAATAGATTCTTTGTAAACGATATCTTTCATTCGAACCCAAATAGAAAAATCAAGAGGATTGAAGTCCGGACTTATGGATGGCCAAGCAAAAATGCTTGAAGAAGTTCCACTTTATTTAAGAAGAGACATGTAGTTCATGCATGACGGAACTTCACCGCATTTTCCTCGGCCAGTGCGTGCATATTTAGATGCAATTTTTCCAAATCGCTGCATTGGCCATGTAAGCATTTTTGCTTGGCCACCCAGAAGTCCGGACTTCAAACATCTTGATTTTTCTATTTGGTTTCGAATGAAAGATATAGTTTACAAAGAATCTATTGTCTCGTGTGAAGAGTCGTGGCAAAGGATACAAATCGCTACCAACAAAGTCAGACGCAATCCCAATATGTTGTTTCAAACTCGAAGATCTCTTAGAAAACGTGTAAAGTGTATCAGTGTCAACGGTGGATTCTTCGAACAATTGCTTTAAATCATAATTACGTATTTTATTTGTTTTATTGTTAATTGTTGTAATAACACGAAGAAACACTTGGTTTGTTTCGCTTTTAATTTCTCATATTATCAAAACATAGTGTTCGTTAAATCGATTTTTCTCGAAAACGGATCGAGATACCGAAATGAAACAAGAGTACATAATTAATGGAAAAATGATAGCTCTTTCAGGTTTTGAATCAAGTTTCATGTTAAATATACAGGGTAAAAAGTTATTAACTAAATTTTCGGTAAAATTGGTCGTAAGTGGAGCCCTCTATGAGCAACGCTGAAATTACAACACTCATCTTATTCGTCGCTTAAAAAAATATAGTTTCACAAATTTTCAATTTCCTAACCTACATAGTTTCAGAATAATCGCAAAAAAACGATTTAAAATTTTTATTTTCAACAGCCTGTATTTCCGAAACTATCAACTTTCGGATAAGACTTGTTTACGCCAATGGTCACCATTTCACGTGTAATATCTTCAGCTTTCGATTTTCCCATTGTTAATGAATCACCCTGTATACATTTTAACTTGCTCGAGAATTTAGGGCATCGCGATTCTGAATATATAGATTTTGTTTAAATTATAAAAATATTTGAATACTTTTTCTTCAAGTGTTTCTCTTAGTTTCTAAAATTTTTCCATCTTTTTAATTTTTTCAATTTTTTGTTTCGGAAAAAAACCGGCTTTCCTTTTTTTAAATCTGAATTATTGAATCTTTAGATGTATCCATTTTATTTTACTACTCTTCTAAATCTTTACCTTTTTTTTTTCGCGCACACCAGTACAACTAACCCAAACAATCGTTTATCTACTTTGATTTCACTTGAACAATTTGGGACATATGTCGCGTATGGACAGTGACTTTCACCTTATGTTCACTTTTCAAGGTCCTTGGTATAAATCTTTTTAGCATACTCAAGACAATGCGAGGCATGTTATTTGTTCTGCTGGAGCAACTAAGTTGCATAAGGATTTGAACTCTAATGTCATATTTTCGTAAGATAATCGAACCATTGTTTGCCCAGTATTGTGACGTCAACTATTAGCGCCCTATTGTTTACTTATACGTTCTACGTAATTTCAATATACACAATGTCTGTGATAATCACGAAAATACTGTCATAAAATAAGAAATCCTCCAGAAATAAACGTATGCTCTTAGTGCTGATGGATGTCCTTGGAAAACCAAATTATTAGTTCTAGATTTTTTATCGTCCCAATATTTGATGATTAACAAAGATATAATTAAGAATCGAAGTGAACAAACAAAGAAAATCCGGATCAGGATCGTAAACGGATAAATCCGTTTGGTTTCCCCTTTTCTATTTTTCTTTCTCGTTATGATATAACTATCGATGGACCTTTGATCCCACGCGTAGGAATTATAATCCACCAAATTAGATATTAAATATTTAATTTTCGTCATAAATCAAGCGCGTTCGAGCAAAAAAAAGGAGTTAAGATCTGCTAAACCGACATCTCCTTATCACAGTGCGCCGCTTATCAGTCGGCTGATTTGTATAAATAATTAGTACGACTCCAGTCATTTTACGTCATCGTAATTATTTATGTAGTTGCGTGTACCGACCCTTCTTTGTACCAGTATGAATGATATTTAATCAAATGATTTGTTTAATTAGACTATCCAGTGTCTAAACGGTTGCGTGTGCGGTACCAAGTTGTTCAGTGATATGATGCATTGCATTCGACTATAATGTGCTGATAAATAACAACCCTTCTACAGAGCTGTGGTGCTATTTTCCAGGTCGGGCAGAGAACCCTATCAAATGTGGCCAAAACGAAGGCGGAGAGAGAGAAGGAGAGGGAGAGAAAGATCGGACACCGGAGGGTCGGGGTGGGGGGAGAGATCACTTACAAGAAGATTCAGACCACCCAGATCATGGGATCCATACAATTGGGTAAGTCTCTAGGTCAGAAATGTGATAAAAAGTTTGAACCTACTTCTGGTTTAGGAAGAACATCAGAAAATAAATCAGAACTTTGTGATGGAAAATGTATCGGGCGTTCTTCCTGACACAGAAGTATGTTCACTGTTTTTTGGACCACCCTGTATACACTGTGTTGCACCCTTATATCTCGGTTATTTTAAACTGAAGCGATTTGCCATTTCTCTACGAAACAATTACCTGTAAAGCGATTACTCTGCTGTAACCAAATTAATTTGAGCCATAGGCGTCCGGTTTTATAATTAAAAAAGGGGTGTACTTTTCAAAAAATATATAAGCGGTTTTTTTTTTCATCTAGGAATTAGTACTACTGTTTTCTAATTAGCTATTAGAGACCCCTTTGTGCCAAATTTGAATAAAATATCTTTAAAAATGCTTTAGATACGGATAAAAATTACCAAAGTTGGATAAGCTCCTAATATTTCCACATTTATTGAAAATATCCACATCGTACAATAGATTATGGCAAAAGGAAACCCAAATTGATTTAATTTTTGGTGCACAATCAAGAAAATTATTTATAACGAAAGGCTTTGTACTAGAGATGATTTAGAAAATAAAATTAGAAAAAATGTGGCGAAATTACTTGGCGAGAAAGAAGAAAAGTAATAAACGGGTTGGAAAATGCATAAAAAAGTTGGTTAATAATTGAAATGTAGAGTATTATTTAATGTTGTTATATTATTTAATTTGTTCTTTTGCAATCTATATTTCGTTGTTAAAATTTCACAGCTCTATTTTGTAGCCAATCAAAAGATATTCTAAACTTTATCATGGCAATAAAAAAATTCTGTAAATTTTTCTCTTTGTCGTTACTCTAGACGAAATTGCACGAATATTTTTCTGTCACTTGAGATGATATTTATGACATACTGACATTATTTTCCTCCAAAATTCTATTTAGTAGAAGTTACAATGTAATTTGTTTTTTTCCCTAAACTCTTAATATATGATTCCAGCTTTATTTAAGTTACTTATATGGAGAAAAATACTAAGCCTTACGTTTTGTTATTTTGTATAAATAAAGTTAGTAACTTTTCTTTATTATTATTTTTTAACTGCTATTAATGTTACATAAAATAATTCGCACAATAAACAAAATGGTATTAACACAAAAATTGTATTTATCAGTAACATTAAAAAGACAGTTATTATAAACAATTGTGGGTTGGTTTGAATTGATGGTTTGCACGTCACTATTTTCTCTTTTCGTGTTCTTTTGTATTTTGGTCATGATTAAACAAACTGATATTATATAGATACAGTCTTTCTTATGTTTCAATAATTTCCCTATGATGCTCCACATCCAAATATAAGTAAGGGTAGATTGATTGGTTGTTACTGTCTCCTGTAATTTTAAGTTGTTCTCCCATCCCCTTGTTGGCCAAATTTAGCACAGCAGTAGCTCTTGCATAATGATTGGTTATTGAATTTGTTTCCTCCCAGTTTGGATTTGGAATAAAAACAATATGTGTCGGTCTTAACGTGATTGTATCTTTTTTTTTTTATTAATTTCTTGTACTGGCGGACAGGGTATATTTGAAGATAGCCCGGATTTGTAATTAACCATTTATTATTTGCCAATTTTTTGGAACCGTTCATATTTTTCATTTTTCTTGTAACTGTTTTGCTTTGGTTCCGCATTGTTTTAATTATACTGCATAATTTTCACAATTTCCCCTCTTCATATCGAAAGCATAATCTTCTAGAATGTTCACTAATTTAGTTGTACCAGTGTTGCCAATAGCAATAATCTTATAATAAAATATCTATTTACAAATTAATGTGATTAGAAATTGAGATATTTAATTTCTAGTTATCAAAATGTTCTTATAACCTTTGAGTTTCAACATAAAACCACCAAGTGGATAATTTTAAGGAAATCAATTATTTTTGTCATATTGCCAAATTTGTTAAAGCATTGAATATATTAGTTTCAAAGTAGAATGTTGACGTAGAACAACTTCAACAGAATGAAGGAACATGGAAAGAATTAAAGAAATTCAATTGTACCATTTGCACATTCAACTACTGAATGCTAACGTTGTCGCTCTTTCAAGAATCCGATCGATGTGTTCTATTTAACAAAGGCGATACATATCTTATTCAACGTAATACCCACGAACTATCATAGAAAGACGTATTCTGAATATACGGATTCTATGTACTCTCATAATACATAAGACACAATATAATAAGTTTTCCTTGTACGAGTAATATCGGAAGAAGTTGATATTGACACTAACCAACAAATCGCTATCTGCTAGTGACGGAAAGAAACTTTTTAGCTGTCTCTAAATGATGCTAACTTGTTTGGTGTTCCTGGAAAATTTTGTTATTTTGTGTTACAATCCATTGAACAGTGAGCAGCAACCATAAAATTTCTATAAATAAAACACTATAAAAATATAAGAGTACTTCGAAGAGAATAAATAATCATTTTTGAAGGTACGCGCCAGCGAAAACATATTAAAATTTCTAACATGTTGTATAAATGTTTTTAAACACTATGTATAGCGTAGCTAATCATAAATGAAATTATGTTTAATGACTGAACTTAATGAGTCACTAGTTCAGGTTCTAAGGCATCTGGCGCGGTAATTATAAATTAATAACATCAGTTTAATCATTAATGCTATTCATCAACGTATTTTACAGCTCTACCGTATGATTAGTGCAGTTTAAATCGTACTTTGCATTAGGTGAACACGAACAGACAGTCATTATATTTGCATAGCTTCTTTACGAAGATAGTGTCCGCTACAGAGTGTTTTGAAATAAGTGTTTTCATGTAGGAAACGTCATTAAATAACCTGTTGTCAAGTCATGTGTTCCAAAAAATTGATCGAGAATTATTTCGCGGAACTCTTGCCGATCCTGCATCAGCCCATATAATCAACTGATCGAGTGTTTGCAGTGCAATTCTTTTACTGACTAATGCATTCTCTTCATGTTATTGAAAAATTGTCCAGACTACTCTTAATTTACTTTGGCATATAATCAGTCTTAGTTTTGAATTTGTTTAGTTTTATCAAAAATAAGTTGAACACAATCTATATGACAGTCAGTTAGAGATCACTAACAGTTGTAGTGCAAACTAAAAGAATGGAAAAGTGCTTAATCTAACAAGTTTCTAGATGGAATGATTTTTTGAGCCAAAAATTCCGTACACCAGCGCGATTAAATTCTTGGAAATATTTTGGAGACATTTCACTACTCTTCCGAAAGTTTATTGCGATTCTGACTATTTCCGGTTTCCTGTTCTGTATTTTCTAGGTCTGCATATTCGAATCTATTCATTGTGGCAAATAAACTTGATATTTTAAATTTCCTCTACATTTTGTTCAGCTGATCCAACTTAGTAAGTGAAATTTGAAGATTTCTTAAATATTACCGTAATAGGTCTCATAAAGGTAATCTTATCCCTTATCGGCGTTGCAAGAGATAAGAGAAAAATCTAGGTTCGCCATCATCCAATTCAAATTTTGGAAACTTGGTGAGATATACAGGGTGTTAAAGAGTGTAAAATATTTAAGGAGGTAATAGTATGAACCAAAATAAGCAGAAAAGTCTCAATAAACATAGGTCCGCAAAGTAACGGTTGCGGAGATATGGAATGTTTTATGGTTTTTAGCCCCTCTTTTTATTTTGCAAAACCGTTGTGTATTTTCTTATAATAGTTGGTTGATGTTTAGTGAAATAAACAGTACGTATTTGACAGTTGTTCTCAGTGCACAAGTTTTCTTTCGCTATGGCTGGTTACTCTAACGCAGAATTAACAGACATGCATTTCATGTATGGTCGTGCTAATGGGAACGCCACCGAAGCGCGACGTCTTTATGTTGACGCTTATCCAAATCGCCAGATTCCTTCACAACGCATGTTTGGAAGAATTCACCAAAGATTGCGTGATACCGGTTCCTTGAGCAAACAGTGCCATTTATCCGGAAGACCAAGGTCGGTATCCACTCCTAGAGCAGAAGAAGAAATTCTAGCACTGGTAGAGCAGAATCCAGGTACGAGTGTGCGGAGAATATCAGCCGAGGTAGGAATTAGTGGTCCTCTTGTTTGGAGAATCCTTCACGAGCAACTGCTTTATCCATACCATGTGCAACGAGTACAGGCCTTAAATCCAATAAATGATCATCAAGCACGTTTGGTTTTTTGCCGCTGGTTTCTACGTCATGATGCTGAAGACCCTCGTTTTCTTGCAAACATTCTTTTTACTGATGAGGCCGGGTTCACAAGAAATGGAGTGTTTAATTTTCACAATACGCATATTTGGGCCGACGAAAATCCTCATGCTCTAATAGAATCTGGACATCAGGCACGTTTTTCATTAAACATTTGGATGGGTATTGTAGGTGACAGGTTTCTAGGTCCTGTTGTTTTACCAAACCGATTAACAGGCGCTGCTTACCTCAACTTTCTGCAGAACACACTGTATGAGTTTTTGGAAGACATTCCTTTGAATCAGAGGCAACAAATGTGGTTCCAGCATGATGGTGCTCCAGCTCATTTTTCCATGGCCGTTAGAGAGCATTTACACCAAACTTTTCCACATAGATGGGTAGGAAGGGCCGGACCTGTTTTATGGCCTCCAAGATCGCCTGATCTGAACCCTCTAGATTTCTTTGTTTGGGGATATTTGAAGACATTAGTGTATGGTACTCCTGTAAATAGCCTGGAAGAGCTGCAGCTACGGATTAATCAAAAGTGTCAAGAAATCCAAACCAAGGAGGGTGTTTTCGAAAGAGTTCGAATATCGTTGAGACGAAGATGTCGTGCCTGCTTGGAAATGGACGGAGGGCACTTTGAACATCTTCTGTAACTTTGTTTTTTGTTTGTTAAAAGCTTCCTTTGTCGGTTTATTCCTAATAAAATAAAATGTTTGAAAAACGAATAGTGGTCCATATCTCCGCAACCGTTACTTTGCGGACCCATGTTTATTAAGACTTTTCTGCTTATTTTGGTTCATACTATTACCTCCTGAAATATTTTACACTCTTTTTTTAACACCCTGTATATTAGAGTTCCTTCTCCAGATATCAGCACTTTCCGCAGCCTTAACCCACAGCCAGCCATTATCTTATCAGATTACAATTTCTACTCATGATTTTACCGAAAACAATTCGAAATATGTGCTCCTAGATAATTAACTGTCAGTCGTGGCGTTCGGGTAGATGGTTGAGGTTGCAAAATGTCTTGCGTTACTTTCTTGTACACAAAGTCGGAACTGCTCCGAAAAGTAGAAGTTGGTGAGTTGATAATTAATTGTTAATAACATTCACTTTTTTTAAACTGAACAATTACATGATAGTGGTATCTTACTGGGTTTCCTGCCACTGATAAGGAAAAATATACATATGACCATCGTACATCTTTCTGTAAAATAACATCGTGAAATATTTAAAATTACGATGCAAAATGGCCACAGCCTTTTATAACATTAAGTCGTTTCCAGCAAGCGCTGTGAAATTGATATCAAACCAAAGCAAAAATACGACTTGTATACACCTCGTCGTTTTGAATTATCAACAAGAAGCTTATTCCTATTTATATACTTTGGTTAAAAACACGTGTTTTGTGTCCGCTTATCGAACGTTCCATTAATATTCAAATGGAAAAGCTTTTCAGCATTGGGATTATCAACAGTCCGTCTTAAAATAGGAACAATTGATAGTGTTAGGTGTCGATGTCATATTAGCTGCGCTTACTTGTAATCCTAGCTTCATGACAAAGACGAATTGGGGATTATGCCGAACATGGAATTAAATATTGAGCACAATTTTAATTGATCATAGTCAGTCAAACTGGTAAACATGTACGGGGCGTTTCATTCTAAGCGAAAAAATGGTTGCGATTTTAAAGCTTTCACAGCCCGTGGTGATATTTAAAGTAGGATGGTTTTTCGGGTTGTTATATCGAGGCCTATATGCCTGGTCACCGCTGGAAATCTGAGATTCCGAAGTGGTCTCTGTAAATGGTCGCATCCAGTATCCAATGCTTCGAAACGTTTCACGAAGTGCAGGCATCTTCAGGGGTAATTGTATGAGTCTCGCCACACCTTTTTTTGCATGTGAAATTAGTTTTGTTCCTAGAGCAATCCAAAACTGTTTCCAGCAGTCAGACCTTCCACATTCCCATATCCTGCCATTGATTTTATAATCTACGCTATCAGATAAGTCAAAGTAAGAGCTGACGCTCACCCACAAATTTTGACGTTTACAGGCCGTCAGGATCTAGGGCTCGCCGCAGACGGCCTAACTTCCCCTAAAACGGTGGGCAATGGTCAATGTCAACGATCAGATGGACTCTCTTATCCTATATATCTAATGATAATGCTTTCATAAAGTTCAAAATTCATTGTTACTATGAAAGTTTTGAAGACCTCTTTGTAGTATAACAACCCCGGGTTCGGATCGTCATGTCATAAGGCATACCTACGTTGTATACATCTATTTCTAATTGACCGAAAGACGCTGGTTACTAACTTTAAAGAGGGGAACTATGGTTTAATTTTATAAAACAAAAGCAGATCTAACTTTATTTTTTTTGTACAACAGTCTTCAAATTAAACATGTGACACAGCAAGAAAAACAAAAACATTAGCAACCATTTAACATAAAATGAGAGTGCCAGGCTCACCTAGAGCTTCTGTGGGGAAAGAGCATGGCAGAGAAACCCACGATCGTTGCTCTAACTACCCAAATATAAATANAAAACATTAACAACCATTTAACATAAAATGAGAGTGCCAGGCTCACCTAGAGCTTCTGTGGGGAAAGAGCATGGCAGAGAAACCCACGATCGTTGCTCTAACTACCCAAATGTAAAGACAAAACAATCGATAACAAAATGCATAAATTGAGATCCTTTGCTAATAATAAATAACACCCGACTTATTTAATTTCTCACTAAATGTCACTCACTCGAATTAGACATACACACTTCCAAGTAAAACTGAAGAGGTTTGGTGTTAGTTAGCCCGTAGGGCCGGAAGGTACTAGAGTCCCATACGGGAAGCAATCCAGCTATGAGTTGAGATTTCGGAAGATTATTTTAGCAATTCTCTCTTGTTTTTAATTATTCTTTTTACAGATTCATTGCTCACGGGCGAAAATGTTAGTAAATTCAACAAGGCTCTTATATGCGTATGACATAAAGCGAGCACAAGAAACGCTTTATTATTTGTTTTTCGAACAATGTAATCATGATAAAAACAAGTTAGATGTGATACAAAGGAGTTATTATTGCAATATCTGGGCAGTCACGACAATATATATTTTAACATGTAATAAATAATGAGCAATCGTTAATAATAATTGTAACAATTTTACCTTAGAAAAATATATGCCCTTGAACATAAAGCAATGGAGGCTAGACGTACAGAGAAGAATTGTTATCATTAAACATCTATAACCATCACAGTCATAAGATTACATAGAACAATTAACAAGAAAGTACTTAGAGAATAATTACCTGCTAATTAATACGGGTTAAACACTTTGATTTTTCACTATTTTGGCTCACTGCCCGCCGATCGTCTTACTCCCATCTCCACACTTCTCTCTTCCACTATTTGGGCTTCCTTCCAGAATTTCCCACCTAAGCGTTTGTTTTTGCGCTTCCTTCTACCAACTGTCAATATTACGTTTTCATTATTGTACAACACCCACGTAACAGGTGACGTTCAAGTTAATGCTATAAGTATGGTTTTGCACATCTTATACCTTTATTGCTTCAAAAGGAACTAAACATGTAAATTAATTCCTTTTTATCAATTTTTCTATTACACCGACAATGAGATCTAAAACTATTAATCATTTAAGCGAAGTCGTGAGTAACGTTCAAAAATATGAGCAATGCTTTTCACGTGGAATTTGATAAAACGTAAATCCGATTTCCTTATTTTAGAAGTCCATTTGTCTGTCTTTTTCACATAATATTTTGTTTCCCGATACATACTTTTAAAAGTTGTTTTGAAATTCATTATTTCATCCTTGGCATTTCAAGTCACAGCGCTATAATAATAAAACATGATTCTCAAGCATTGTTTCAAAATATCCAAGCTCTGTCGATCGTGAACGACGTCGGTTCCTTGAAGCGTTGATGATTTAGTTATTAATGTTATTATGATTCACTTTCCAAATACTTCACGATTTCTGTTTTATGTTTTTAACCTTGTTGATGATAAAGTCAAGTGCAGGTGCAAAACAGGTTATTAAATAAACACACCAACCTTTTCGCTGATATACTGATAGCCTAATAGTAAAATTTTCCACATTTTCTGCACTCTGTAACTTGAAACTAAATAGGTATTATGTATTTTTACAAGTTATTTAAAAATATTGAAATATATTTAGGAAACATGGGTAAAATATCGATTTACGACAAACTATACCTAATTTGTTGAGTAATCTATTGTTTTTATCATAGTACAATGAAGTTGTCTATAAACTAATACATATTATTAACCTTCACAGTAATTTGTTTTGAAACTTCCATGAGTGGCTTTGTTTTTCACAGCCACTATTTTTATATATAAAACGAAAGTCTGATTATTATTTTTTATACGTAATCAGAGTGCTCTCTACTGGGAATATCAATTAACACCAGTTAACAAGATCAAAACAAACGTCATCATTGAAATTTGAATGAACTAGAAACAGTAATAATAATTATAATGTAGAGATAGTTTTCGAAATACATAATTAAACAGATAAGAAGGATGGTGCGTCTGGTTTTGGATCGTCAAGGGACCAAAAATTTGTAGGTCTGGTTTGTGGATCTTGTTAAAAACAATTCTAATTTCCCTTGATTTTTGTTTTGATTTTTAACGTTTTGGTATCTATACTTACATGCCACCATTTGCAGAATTAAAACTTATACAATACTTATTGAAATATTGCAGATGAATTTTTTAAAGAAGCTAAAAAACAGTTCTGGCTATTGAGCATTGTGTGGGTATGCTTGATGTAATAGCTGTTTTACATTGACAATTTATTGATCAATTAATTCATAAAGTCGCTTCATCAAAAATTGGATAAATGTAATGCACCAAATATGCTGTCAAATCACTTCATGAATTTATTCATCAAGTTCTTGACGAATTAGAGCATGTCCTAATTTTCGTCAATTTCTTCGTGAAGTTCAGATGTACCAACCCAACAGATTTCCAGACTCAGATGAGTAATGAGGTTATGTTATTGGAATATGTAAATAATTGTGTGGCGTCGTACTAGTTTTGCATTGTTTCTACTGATTTGTTACTTACAAAAACTAATATTTATATAATATGTGTCAAAACGTACCGCTGTTGTATCACTACAATTATGAGTGGAAAGGTGACATTTTTGAAATTTATTTGCATCTTTGATTTGTTGGTAGAGCTGATTCATGTGTCAAAAAACTTGACAAAGTCTGTAGCAGTATAAAACCACACTGTTTACCAATAAATTCGTGAATTAGTTCATGAAGAACTTCGTCAATTTATTCATGAATAAATTGTCAATGTAAAACAGCTATAAATTTCAACAATTTCGCCCTTATGAGACATAAAATTCGTTTGCACAGGCCCACACTTATTATCGACATCAGTCATCATTAACATCACAAAATAGACCATAGGTTCATTTAGCATATTTTTTTAAATTAATTTTTATAATAAGTGAAAAATCAATTTTTTTTTTTTCAAAATTTCTCTCGAGTTAATAAAAACAGCATTGCAAACAATAAATATCTACTAGCAATTTAGAGCAAACTTGAAAATTTTGAAAATGGTTCATTAGATGCTTCAGTTTCTGATTATATGCATTTTTCAGGCATTCAGCATGCTGTTGGTGGTTTAGCGTCGAAACCTGAGCGAGATTTACTGATGCAGGACTTTATGACGGTAGAAACGACGAATTTTCCGAGCGAGGGTTCGAACCATACGCCCGCGCATCACTTTTCCGAATTTAAGTTTAAGAATTACGCTCCAATAGCTTTTAGGTACTTCCGAGATTTGTTCGGCATCCAGCCAGATGATTTTTTGGTAAGTTAAATTAAATTTACACCTGTCAAAAATTGATATGATTTTATTTTTTAGATGTCCATGTGTAATTCTCGTTTAAGGGAACTCTCAAATCCGGGTGCGAGCGGTTCGATATTTTATGTCACAGCTGATGATGAATTCATAATAAAGACAGTGCAACATAAGGAGGGCGAGTTTTTACAAAAACTCTTACCAGGTAAGCAACAGAATATCCCATCCTTATTCTTCCGATATTTTGTGTATTCTCTATTCCAACATTTTCTGTTTTCTCTGCATGAAAATTGTAATGTGCCGTTCATTTTGCATAGTTTATCGATATGTTCAGCCTGCGCGTGCATTTCTCGATTTGTCAGTTTCCAGCTTAGGCGTTTCCTATCGTGTCATATGCGTGCGAATGGGAAAACGTTTCATTATTTTCAAATCTCATGCGAGTGTTAGTAGCCAATCTGTTAATATTTGGGGTAGTTGTAAACAAGCGAATATAACAGATCGAGAACATTGTATGATAAACAACATTTATCCGTCGTACATATTTGCATGTTGAAAATGAGGCGTTGCCTACAATTTTGGAACCCTAGTATTGCGATGTACTGACTGTGTTGTCATTGCAGGTTATTATATGAATTTAAATCAAAACCCTAGGACGTTACTTCCGAAATTCTTTGGACTGTACTGTTATCAGTGTAATAGTAAAAACGTAAGACTGGTCATTATGAATAATTTATTACCTAGTAACGTTGTGATGCACCAAAAGTATGACCTTAAAGGGAGCACATACAAAAGAAAGGTAACTTGCTCTTACTTATTCTCTCTATGTACTAAATCCCCGCATTTTAAAGGCCTCGAAAGCAGAGCGGCAAAAGAGGTCACCCACTTACAAAGATCTCGACTTCATGGAACACCACCCAGAGGGCATTCTTATGGAGGCGGACACTTACAATGCTCTAGTAAAAACAATACAGCGGGACTGTAGAGTGCTAGAAAGCTTCAAAATTATGGATTACAGTTTACTCTTGGCCATACACAATTTGGATCAGGCGCAAAGGGAAAGGATGGTACGTAGATCAACGATTCCACAACTTAGTAGTTTATATGTTTATATTTTGAAGCAGAAGAAATCTCAGACGACGTTAGAGGAGGCTCCTGAAGACGGAGAGGCGGGCGACATGAGCGCCGCCATGGTGCAAGAGGAAAGGGAGAGAGAAAGAGAAGACAGAGTGGGCGCAGCAGCACTGAACCGCAGCAGGTCTATAAACCGGCAGAGGCTAGTGGCGCACTCCACCGCCATGGAGAGCATCCAGGCAGAGTCGGAGCCCATCGATGAGGACGACGACACACCGTAAGTCATATACATACAAACACAATACCATTTTCTTAATAACATTTAAAAGTAACTATCTGTTGAGCGTCCAGTATAATGTCAATGACTTATTGGATTACGTTCTTGTCTTGCGCCCCTTTCTGTGTATATGTAAAAAGGAGGAATTAAATGTCTGTGCACAAAACAATTTACAAATTTTTATTTATCCATGTACATCCATGGCCAATAATATTTCTTATTAAGATTTTTTTTGTTTCTTTCGCTTTCTTAGTCGTTTGTTTTCATGTAATTTTTAAGTACATAATTTTATTTGAATAATATAGTTTTATTACTTTATTTTATTATGCTTGTTTTATCTAGCGCTTATAGACCAGGGCGGATCGTTGAAATATCCCACTTCTTGAATGTTTTTTTTGCTGGAATACCTTCAGTACAACTCACATAATAAAAGTGTAGATCCCTAGATCTGGGCGAGGTCCGGAATATTTTCAAAATTGCAAAAATGTTTAAAAAATATTTTAAAAATACCAATTTTATCTTGTTTTTTTACTTATACATATATTGGAACCTATGCATTTTGGAGGAACATTGAAGAGGAAAAAAAGTTTTAGAATTGAATTTTGCACAATATAATGTAAGTTAAGAATGTTTAAAGGACCCCGCACAAAATATATGGAAAATGGTCTTTCGGTAAATCTTGTTGAACAAAAGTCTCATTGACACCAAGTAGAAAGATGTTAAAAATGTGTAAATTTATTACTGATATTGCAAAACAGCAATAATTGATGAAAAAAAGCAAATAATCAAGTTTTTTGGATAATTTTTTTAAAATACTTTAATTGCTCTGAGGGCATTCTAATTTTGGTAAAAAAAACATTAGAGTATAATAAGACAACACACCAAATTTCATTAAAATCAGTTCGAGTTTTCGCAAAATAATTTTTTTAAAAAAATTTTGAAAAATTTTTTTTCTAATTCTCAAAATTTGCACAGCCTCAAATAAAGCATGTAGATATTTGAAATTTTTACACATAGAAAAGACCGTTCAACCTTTCAGATGGTTTTTGAAAAATTGAAATCGGTTGATTAAAACGGCCGCAGTAAATTTTTAAAGTTCACTCTTTTTTATTTTTAAACAATTAGATTACATTTATCAATTTGCAATTTAGTTTGTAGTTGTAGTTGAAAAATATGTTTTTCATAATTTTCAAATCCAAGATGGCGTATCCAATATGGCCGACGGTCAGTCATGCATTCTTCTACTCAATGGTTTTGTCTAAATTTTTTTACTCGGTCGTTTCCTGGGTCGCCGATCGCGAATATGAAGTTAGATTTTCATAGTTTCCAAATCCAAGATGGCGGATCCAATATGGCCGACGGTCAGTCATGCATTCTTCTACTCAATGTCTTTGTCTGAATTTTTTTACTCGGGGGTTTTCAGGGTCTGATCGCGAGTATGAAGTTAGATTTTCATAGTTTCCAAATCCAAGATGGCGGATCCAATATGGCCGACGATCACCTCCGGTGACCTCGGAAACATATTTGTGAATTTTTCCAGATTTTTTCGACGATCAGTTCTCTACTTGACCTTCAAAATGACCTTGGCATGACCTTAAATGACCCCTGGGAGTCGCTGCGGGGTAAAACGGACTACGGTTTCGTGATTAGGGACCTCGAAAACATATGTATGAATTTTTCCAGATTTTTTCGATGGTTATTTCTCTACTTGACTTCAAATGACCTTGAAATTACCTTGAAACTGATGTGACGGAGCTTAACTGACCTATTCATCGTAATCTACGATCCCAAGAACCCTATAAGGACCAGACCGCTTTGGGTGTTTCATTGTGGATCAAATGTTGACCTGTGTTTAGCAAGATTCAACGAAATACCTTTTTTCGTATATTTCAAGCCATTGCTGTCAATGAGACTTTTGTTCAACACGATTTACCGAAAGACCATTTTCCATATATTTTGTGCGGGGTCCTTTTAAACATTTTTAACTTACAGTATATTGTGCAAAATTCAATTCTTAAACTTTTTTCCTCTTCAATGTTCTTCCCAAATGTATAGGTTCCAAGATATAAGTAAAAAACTCAGATAAAATAGGTATTTTTTAAACATTTTTACAATTTTGAAAATGTTCCGGACCTCGCCCAAATCTAGGGATCTACACTTTTATTATGTGAGTTGTACTGAAGGTATTCCAGCAAAAATTTGGTTGCCCCCTCTCACATCCACCTCAAAATAGATCCGCCCTGGTCTATTATATTAAATAAAAATAAATACTGAATGTAACGTGAACCAATTGTACGAATATTATTACAGTCCTGGTGGAATTCCGGCCAGAAACGCAAAAGGCGAACGTCTACTACTTTTCATCGGTATTATCGACATCTTGCAGAGTTACCGGCTAAAGAAAAAATTGGAGCACACGTGGAAATCCATGATCCACGACGGTGTAAGTAAAAACGGGGCGTGTACCGTCAAGCGTTAATTTTTACTTTTTTTCTTTTCCAGGACACTGTCTCGGTGCATAGGCCGAGCTTTTATGCCCAGAGATTCCAGAAGTTCATGTCGCAGACCGTCTTTAAGAAGATACCATCACGTAAGTATCGCATCTGCAACACTTTTTACCAGGCGTAATTTAACATTGTTCTGTTTTCTCTACTTCCCTGTTCGGTGTCAAGTGTTAACAAGTGTTATAATCTTGGCGAGATCTGTTAAATGTGTGATTATTAGGGGACATGATGATGTTGCTGAAAAATGGAGAGAAACGTTGGATGTCCTCAATTTATTGTGAATATTTTTTAAAATTTGTTATAGTTTTGAACAACGATTAGTTAATTTTTATCGATCGTTAATATTGGCAAATACTATCTATCCACGTTTCCCCCCAATATAGTAATTAATTTTTGAATAATCCTGTTGTTAGATGTTCATTTTTTCTGGAATTTTTTCGATCTACAATTAAAAAAAGTTATATACATGTACATAGTGATTCTTAAGTAATGGTATAACACTTTACTGTGGATACTAGAAGTCAATATTATCCATTTATCCATCGATCCATTCTATATATATTAAAAGCTGTAGGTTACTCTCGCTCCCACACTCGGCTGCAAAAAGAGGCGTACGGTATTATCAAAGGCTTTCTTTGCGAGCCGCGGTCCTTCCTTTATCCCAACGTCGTATTTTGAAGGCGATCTGTTAGCGCCTTCTATGTGAAATTTCCACTTTAAGAAGACTCCTCGCCAAAAACTGACTTTTTTCGGTGGGAAAGAGATACCCTAAGTATATCCGATATTTAAACAGAGATGGAGACAAACGTCAAAATAAACTTTGTCATTTGACACGTTTTCCCGTGCGATGGGCCACGGTGAGTCGTTGTATTGCCGTTATGCACCGCTGCCGATCTTTTAGAGATGCAACTTTTGCGATAAAACTTGATTTGAACATTTTTAATTTTCCGTTTACATTTGCCGAGAACCAAGGTTTCAAATAGCTCGTGCAGGCTCCACCCATCGTTAGATCACCGTAGCTCATTTTGTAAACTCACGACTGCGAAGCCGAAGGCTCGGGTTTCGAATCGCGAGCGGGTGGCATTTTTTCTTTCTTTTTTTTCGGAAAATGATTATTATTATTTACCAAGCCACAGAGAACGACAGTGAGTGCTCGAGCCCGAGAGAAAGGTCAAGTCCGCGTCAGCGGACTTGCCTACCTTTCTAGCATTATTTTTAAAATGTGTCAGACATGCCAAATTAACATATAAAGCAGCATTTTTACCGCAAATGTAGATAAAATAATAGTAGTCATGTAATAGACCTGCGGAAGTAGAAGTGTAAGAATTTTCTATTCCAACACTGTGAATTTTCTTTGATTCTTCAGCTTTTCTTGCTTACTGAGTCTTCTGTATATGCATCGGCCACAGAAGATGACGTCCATCTCTCTCTCCAAATGCGGAACAACAACTGACGCCCTTCGCTTCGTTACCGTTGACCTGCACTATCTCCCCTCACGTGCACTGTAGGTTGCCTACAATTTGTAATACGTGATTACAGTGGCGACGTACAAGTTTTAAAGTGCATTTTAAAAAACTAACTATAACACGACTATTTATTTGATTAAAAAAGAAAAGAATTTCATATTCGTATTCAGGAGAACACAATATTATCCCTAAAAAACTGACCCCCAACTTAACGTCATACCCTTTATAGCATCCTAGGTCGTTCAGAGTTGATATTATGATTTCCCTCTTCCAATAACCCCCTGCCATCAACTTTCACAAGGTAATTTCAAAAATTCATTTATAACGAAGTAATTTAAAATTTTACACCATGCATTTTTTCGGTATCAGCTTTTTAAACTTGCTATAAAATATGTTCACTAATTCTATCCACAGCTGAGCGTTGCATCATTGTTTATGAATGACTTTGTATAAAATAAGTTAGGCACAAGTGAAACCGAAGACAAGATTATCCTTTATTTCATAGCATCATGTCCTCTACAATTATCAACAGTCGAAAGTTTGTAGAATCCTACAATCAGTGTGTCCGTATAGTAGTTGTAACTGTCGATATTCTGTATGTAATGCAGCTTGGTTGTTCAAAAATCACGATCGAGCATTCTAAATGATTTCTTAAAAAAAAAGTATTGGTGAACTTGTTATTATCTTTGAAGCGAGCTGCATTATATATTATGTATTGTTTTCTGGAGGCTAGTTTTATTCCAAATCCCATAAGAATTGTTATTTGTCATTAACCAGTACAATCCGTTTTGAAACGTAAGCTAGATACATCACGCTAGCACAAAACTAGCTCCTTAGCTGTACCTGTAGCGGTGGTAAGTGTATTTTATGATCAATCCCCAAATGGATATATTTCCTAAATGTGAATATGAAGAAGTGTGCCTTCCTCCATTTGAAATTTCACAAAGCAAGGTGCGGAAAAGGATTAATTAGACATTTGAGGAAAATGAAATGACATTTGTTTCACACTTAATATTTCCTGAATTTAAATTAAAGTAACAATTTCAATTTTCCACTGGAGAGAACAAATCAACTAAATAGTGGATTTATCGTAGTTAAGTTTTGACTATGTGTGAAATATAACCTTAAAGCATGTTTTGTATTTTAAATGTTATTGCTGGATCAGCATTTTTGTAGGAACAGGTGCAAGTGCTTCCGGCTTCAAAAAAAAAACCTGTTCCGAAAAACTTCTCCTGTTCTAAACTGGTCCGAAATTCTTTTAAGAAATGCTCCTAACTCACTCCGACTGTACAATGGCTTAGGATTTAAAGCAATTTTTTGTTAGTATTGGATTAGATTTATCTGTCAAAATTTAAATCTACTTTTATCCTAAATGCAGCAAAGAAATAATGGAACATAAAAATATAACACCCATTTTTTAATTATTGTCCATAGTAAACTATTAAAAAGTTTGAATTGTAAAATTAGTTTCCCTGTTTTTGTTTTTTGTACCTTACCGTAAATAGCAGTTTACGCTCAATCTCTGACAGAAACCCTTTAAAAAAACATTGTTCAAGCGGAGCAACTTAAAATATTCATTTATACTTGTTTCGAGTATAATCCTGTATTTTCTTAATTAATTGTGCAAAATCTACCTGGCCGATTTCGATTAAAAAATTTCTGCAATACTACCATATCATGAAGTACTCAGAACCATACTTTTCATATGGCTATTCTAAAGTCAAGGTCCGAAATAAATTTATGAAAAAAAAACATCTTTTTTCACGAATTTTTTTATCGGTCTATACTTATTGCAGCAACAATAATGCACATTGCAAATTTCGGACCACTTTTATTTGGAGCGGAATTTCAAAACGACACTTTTTTTCCTTTGTCTATTTTCTCTAATGTCAATATTCTTCGAGTTATACATGAAAGAAGGGAGAAAAAGCACCTTTTAAAATTATTTTTTTTACATTTTCTTGCATTAACAATTTTGCACAACTTTTGTTTTATTCCAATTATCATTTTACATAATATTTAGAACTATTTCCAACAAAAATTAACGTTACTATATAAAACATCCATCTTGAAACAGATACCGACTGACTACAATGTCATTAGTTGAAATGTTGTAAATTGTTAAAATTACTTGAAGGAAAATTTATATTGATATTGTATGACATTACTGACCTCACAAAATAACTTACTCGGTAACATTACTTTGTCCTTGTTTGTTATTTGGGTGGTGCAACCGGGGGAACTAGATGACATTTTCCTGTGATTTTTAAATTTTATATCAGTTTTTCTAAACTTTATCGTGATAAAAAAGAAATTGGGAAAATAATATTGCACTATAAATACTTTTAATTTTGGCAAAATTGAAATTTGTGAAGAAGGCCCATTATATTTGTTTATTATAAAAGTGTTTGTTAATCCATTGGGGATATCATACCGCCACCTCTACAATGTTAGTGTAGTATACCTAGTACCAGTAGTATGTTGGACTCTGACTCTATATGTGTGTGTTTCAATGCTTCATGTAGTGGACTTGCCTGAAATTAAGGGCAATCATCGCAAGTTTCGCACCCTGGTTACCAGCTATATAGGTAAATTCCACCCCACAGTATATTATATATTCACATTTTTTTTTTAATCGTTATTATAATTCTTTTTCTCTGTTGTTTTGTAAGTGGTTTTTTTGCCAGCTCTTTATTGAATTTTTAATCTGTGTGTATCTTTAACAGAAAAACTGCAATACTCGGGGTGTCATTTTATTTTTAAATAAATTGGCTTATGTAAATAAATATTTCTACGTTAATACTAACAATTCATGAAATTGCTTTTATTTTGAAACGAAAAATTTTTCATAGGTTTATTTGAGGACCACTCAATACTAAACGTATGGGATAATAAAATCCACTATTCCTATTTTACTCATATTCTCTGTTATGTTGTCTTTATTTTTTCCCTCATTGACGCGATTTCAAAGAAATATTAATGAAAAAGACATACAACTAGCTTTTTTGAGTATTTTTGGTGGTTTAATAAATATGTCTACTTAACCAAAAGGTAATGTTCGCTGTTGATTGTTTTTGTTTAATGTTAATCTTATATTTTGTCTGTTGATGTTTTATGTAACAACCTTTATTAATATTTAACCCTTTCTTCTAATCTTAAGAATTCTGTTGTTCAGAATTACTTCCCTTTTTTTATTTTAAATTTTTGCTAAAAAAAATTTATCAAACTGGTCACTTTTTTGTATTTTTTAACCTTATAAATTATTCAGTATTCACTTGATTGTTGTTTCAGCATTAAAGCACTCCCCGTCAAAACGGAAATCTTTGTCCAGGCCACTGGGAAGACACGAGGAGTTAAACGAACAGGATAGTAAGTTCGAACCTGTATATCCACACACGTCATCGTCATCTAACATTCACATGTCATTCAGTATAATTTAAAATGTAATCTAGCTACACGAAAGTTGGTTTTGCTTAAGTTTGTACACGATTATTTGCCCGTAGAGAGAGTCATATGGATAATACCCTTAGAATGATGTGCTTTCCGTGGAATCGACAACAAGAAATTATTTTGCTTTGAGAAATACACACATTTTTTGCCTTCATTTACGCAAAGTACGAATTATTTGCGAAATTTTATGTTTTATAAAAAATTGACATTTATGTTCATATTTTCCATGTGACTTTTTGTATGTCTCAAAAGCGTGCCCTGTCGAATGTTTTTGCTAATCATTGTGGTGTTGGGTTATACAGCTACTGTGCAGGCGCAGGTGAATTCTAGTCAACAAAATGGAAGCAAAACTGGTGAGTGGTCTAGATACTTAATTTTTTGTTTTTTGTCGTGAGGAGGATATTTAGTAAATCTTTTTTTAAATAGGGCCTTTAATCATAGACCAAATTTCGATGTAAATTATCGTGTGAACGGTTCAGGATTAGTTTCGATGTTCTATAACCCATCACAAACAATTTGAGCTTATTATTATGTACGAGTTTAAAGCAATTTCGTTAAGTAGATATAATTAAACTGAATTACTTTTTATGTGTTTTATTTAATAGGAGTTTATAGAAATATTGTTCACAAAGTGCATTTTAGAAAAGAAATAAATTTTTATTGATACTTTAGTCTTTACACTCGTACTGCGTAATGTTTTAGGACATACTAGGGTTAGTACTAATCTGTGCAAGTCAGGTTATTATAACAAAAAAAATGCGGAAAAAACATATAAGAACTTATTTAAAAGCGATACCGATTATCATTTTCTGTTTTGAATTACAATATGACATTAAAAATGGGCTACAATTTCAAGGTTGATTTTCTCATAAAGGGCTAACTTTGATATTTTTTAAAATTTACTTGTCAGTAATATACCTAATGTGGCAGCTTTTACTGAAACTTAAGTTTTCTGAACATGGGTGCCAGGGAAAATAAGTCTTTTTCTCCAAAATTTGAACACCCTGTAGGAAATACCAGCTACGTTAGACAATTTACTTGAATCAAATTATAGTCCCATCTTTCCTGAAAATTTAGTTTTTTTAGTTCAAATCATCTCTATTTGTAATCGAAAGAAACATGGGCAGATTATTTTAAAAAATTAAAAGAACAAAATTAACAACAAAAACAAAGGAGAAAATCAATATTGTGTAATTCCACATCTTCCGCCATAACACAAATGTCTTGTTTCATCATAAATTAAAACGATATCTATCAACTCCGAGTTGCTATACACGTAAGCCATTTTTGACACTAACTACTAAAAAACTCAAAAAACTGTTGTAAACACAATTGTTGATTGTATGATAATAATGTTAATACTAATTGAAGAGTGGAAATTAGAAAGGGCCTAAGTACTAAAAACAAACTGTTGAGATAATCAAGAAAAACTGAATAAAAGTCAAAAATTTATTTAGCAAACATTTAAGTACATGTGTTTAGTGCAAAACGGAAAACATGCTTTACAACAAAAAATATTAGCAAAGTAACTTCTTATAACAAAAATTTCAATTTGATGAGACACGTGCAGACATCTGATACAAACGGACATACTGTTGGACATAGGACCTTTCTTAGGAAAACGCTTGCACACATACAAATACCGATATCTATGAGTAGCTTCCAAAACTTTAAATATTAATATCAGCACTAGGAACCTTTCCTAGGACATAAAGTATGGTATTCAGACCATTTCTGTGCCAAAAACTAAATTTTGGGAAAAATGGTACTTAGACCCTTTCTAATTTCCACTCTTCGATTGTAAAATCGGATTTCAGTATTCGCTGTCGCTCTCCACGCGCATTGCATAAAGTGCACAACACGAATGACGTTAGAGACTATAGTAGCTCAATGATGTAAGGGTTGTAAATACAACAACTTCAATAATTTCTTTCTCAGAAACTATAAGGAATTTACAAAAAAATTTTTTTACGATATTGACTCCATTTTTTGGATAAGTTTTAAATCACCCTGTATAGTTTAACTTTGAATGGGGGTCATATTAATATGGAGACCTTTAAAAACACATACAGGGTGGCCAAATAAAAACGAAACAGAGCTATTTTCAGGAACTCCGTAAAAAATTGTAGAAAAACGCTCAGACCCGTCGATTTTAGATTAAAGGAGGACATTATTTGCTGGTATTTTTGACTTCGCCACTTTCACCCCCAGGCAAGGGTAAGCATCACCCCAAAATATTTAAATGGCATTCGGGGTTGAGTAATATTTCTTTTGAAAGCTCTTATAATTCTCTTTACGACAGACTTTAAATTTTATAATTCCGCCCAATACTTATTAAGAATTTTGATTTTAAAGTTGAAACTATGTACAAACAATTAGTAACGGTTAAAATGTTAGTCATTCGAGTTAAGTATGTCAATTGTATAAATTTAGTATTTCTTGCCTTACATTAGTTTTTGGCAATTTGTTATCACTTTCGTAAAAAAAAACACAATTGTAAAAAACAGAAATGAATGCTGAAAATGGCTCTGTTTCGTTTTCATTTGGCCAGCTTGTATAATAAGTGTGTTTTCTCAAATTCCTCTACAAAAACTGAATTTTTTGTAATTTTTTCGTAATTTTGTGACCCTGCCCCTGAACAAGTAGTGAACCTCAAATTTCATCTTTCTTGATTCCTATACATGTTTTTTCATGTCACATGGAAATTTAACAATGAAGACACACAAACACACAGACCATTACCAAACACTAAATTATATATCGTTATAAATAATAGCAATCTGTTTTTAAAAAATTATTTTCCATGGCAGTTTCGATCTCTGCCACTCTGTTGGTTTCATACAGTACTTGATTTTAAAAGTAGCAACACTGGTAAGCATGCACTTACAACTGGGAGGTGTTTAGTGGTGGTGTAAACAAGAGTTTAAGAGCAATTTATTTGATAAAAAATATATATACAGTGAAAATCGGTTATAACTACCTTCAAGGGACCATTTGTTAATGGTTATTATAACCGATAGACATAATAAGCAATTACGTATATTTTATTTCAAATTTTTATAGAAAAAATGAGAAATTTACAATACAAGTCTTTAAGGATGTACATGTATTGCTTTGTGTTCAAAAGATCTCGGGCGCTTCATTTTCAAGTAATTGTTTCCGAATAGAGACTTTACTTTATTTCTATCCTTCCAAATTGTTGAAATCGTAGTGTAACACGCCATATTCTTTTGCTTGCTTGCATTAGTTTCTCCGTTTTTTACTCTATATTATATGTGATTTTTCTTCTTTATTAAACACTTTTCTTTTCGACATCGTGATAGACAGCGGTAATTAATTCATATAATATGACTATAGAGATGTCGTAATTTGTCACAAACGTACTAACTGGTGTCAAAAGCGTGGATGTTAGTCATTATAACCGACAGATTCTATAGTGAATGTATATAAAAACGCGTCGTTAAATCTGAAATGTCATTGTAAACGGTGTCGTAATAAACGATATTTTTAATATGGCATTTCTATAGGGTTAAATCGGGACTTCCAAATTCCGTCGTTATATCCAATATGTCGTAGAAAGCGATGTCGTTATAACCAATTTTCACTGTATTTCTGATTAGCATTATGGGCAATACGTACTAAAAAAAAAAACTTAAAGTTACAGCCTATATAGACATACACGTGTTTTACACGAAGAGCAAGCATATCATACTCGTACTGTGATATTTTTTTTATTTTATCAACTAAAGTTGTTGCTGGCAGCATATTAAATGTTGATCACAAGAAACACTGCACTTACTGCATTTACATTCAGTGTACTACTGTGCATTATATAATTTCCTATCTATTTATTGAAATTAAAAAAAAAATCGGTTCATTATGAAGCACTCGAAAACACGAAAACACAGGTAGAGATAATGGTATACTGTAATTGTTTGTTGTTTCTGCAGCAGTCTCAAACTGTTGGATACACTTGGCCACTTAAATTGTCATATTGTTGAGATTCTAGGGTCATGAATCAATTGAACCAATATCTCTAATAGTGTCAAATGAGTCCTCAACTGCTGCAGAAGTTATAAAAGTCTTTATATGGAATTTGAACCTGACTTTCACATTTTAGTGCTAGCCCTAGTACATACACTCATGCCAATGAAATTTCTCTTTCATGCTGCATCTGCTTCCGGATCCTGCCATGCTGATCGCCTCTTCCCTTCTAACCTCAAATCATTCATTACTTGTACAAAAATTTACTAAAACCCCACCGAATTTCGTCCAGCGAGTCCAACAGACCCTGTGCCTGCCAAGGTGTCCCCGCCGACTCACCCCGTGACCTCGCCCCCTTCCGCTCCCCTCACGTCTCCCCCGGCAGCCTATCCCGCTGTCCTCGTAGGCCGCTCCAATAGCGAGCTGAAAGCAAAGGTCCCCCCTCCCGTTCCCCCTAGAGGCACGCCGAAAGTAAAGCGGGTCGACTCGAACGGTAAAGGTGCGCAAAGCTTTCGTAATGCTGTCTTGAGTGATGATGCGAGTTTGTTGCATGCTGGTTCTGCGCTTGTCGTAGTGGTTGATGGACGGCCGGTTCGTTCTTTGCATGTCGGTAGAGCTGGCGCCACCCCAAACAGACCTGGTAGGAGGCGCCACAGGAAGTGTTATTCAGACGAGACCAGAATGGTCCGTTTGGTCAAAGATGCTAAGTTACCTTTTGAAAACGATGATTTGTTGAAAGTCGAGATAGCTAGTAGTCGTTTGAGGAGGAGTCTAAATTATGAGGATTTATATAAACGGTCTAAGGTTGATTATCTTTTAGAAGAATTCGTGTAAAAAATTATGAAAATGCTAGATGCATTACAAGTAATATTTAATACTAATTAGTTGTTTTAAATCGTTACAAGTACATACACCAGGAAAATTAGCGAAAATAAAAGAGAAACTCGAAAAAATTTATATCCACGATATTATTGTAAAATTGTCTAAAGGAACATAATACAAGACATCTCTCATATGTGGATCAAAAAATTTTATTAGCTAACTTTTCTATTTAAACAAATAAGTGAGGAAAACAGTTTTTTCATTTTGCAGGGAAAACCATCAATTTTAGCGAAAAATGACTCACAGACAGCTTGTAGGGAGTAAAATTATCTACAAAATGAGACTTGTTAAATTAAAATCGGTTAATAAACAAAAAAATTATTGCAAAAAAACAAGAAAAATGCCCATTTTTTAATTTGATTATAACTATCGCATTTATTGGTAAAATTTTATAAAATCTATGACAAGTTGAGGGTTTTGTCATACTTTAAGTGTGCCAAAAGTGGGCGCTGTAGGTGCAATAGTTTTCGCACAATTCAATTTGTTTATAACGGAGGCTCCAAAAGTTATGAACTTTAAGCCTCTGTACAGGCGTTAATTTTCAACCAAACATGATTCTGAAAGCGTCATTGTAATCTTAAAGACGTAATTAAGCGACCTATTAAAAAATATCACCGTTTTTTTGACATTAACATTCTCAAATTGTGCATTAAAAAATCGTGCGTGTTTCGCTTATAAACAATTTGAATAATATTGTTGCTATTTATGCTACCTCACCGAAAATAGATGCAATGGATAGCTGGCAAAAAAATACAAATTTAAAAAAAAAGCACACTATGACAACATGCAGGAGCCAAGATAAGAATTTTTTTAAATCGTAGCGCAATCGTTTATAAATATTAAAACTTGAATATTTCGCAAAATAAAGTTTACGACATAAACTACGAATTGCATTGAAAAATGTGGAAAATTAATGACTCACGAGCCTTTTAAAGAGAAGGTACTTGCTAAATAAAATGTCCGGCGTGGTGGTGGGGGAAGCTCGTCCAAGCGAGTCGCACGCGAGAAAAGTGAAATCCAAAGTTCAAATTGATGCGCACTGTAAAATTTTGCAATATCTCGGCTTCTATTCATCGTAGAAACTTCTTTTTTTTTTAACTGGGGTAGCTCGACGAAAAAATAACAATGGGCATATTTACGAATTCGTAGAATAGCCCTGAACCCCAGAAAAAATGCATATTTTATACTGATTTTTTTTTAATTTACAAAAATGTCACAAAAATTATTGTTAAACTAAATATTAATTAAAATTTCAATTTCGGTATTATTTTACTACTATTAAATAAATAAATGGAGCTATCGTTCATTTAAAAAGTTATTTTTTTTTATATATTAAGCCAAAGTAAACTTATTTTTTCAATATTTTGTTAGTTATTTTTTAATAATGCACAATTTGAGAATGTTAATGTCAAAAAAATGGTGATATTTTCTAATAGGTCGCTTAATTACATCTTTAAGATTACGATGACGCTTTCAGAATCATGTTTGGTTGAAAATTAACGCCTCTACAGAGGCTTAAAGTTCATAACTTTTGGAGCCTCCGTTATAAACAAATTGAATTGTGCAAAAACTATTGCACCTACAGCGCCCCCTTTTGGCACACCTTTAAAGTATGACAAAACCCTCAACTTGTCAAAGGTTTTATAAAAGTTTAACAATAAATGCGATAGTTATAAACAAATTAAGAAATGGGCACTTTTCTTGTTTTTTTTTGCAATAACTTTTTTGTTTATTAACCGATTTTAATTGAACAAGTCTCATTTGTAGATAATTTTATTCCCTAGAAGCTGTCTGTGAGTCACTTTTCGCTAACATTGATGGTTTTCCCTGCAAAGTGAAAAAACTGTTTTCCTCACTTATTTGTTTAAATAGAAAAGTTAACTAATAAAATTTTTTGACTCACGAGATGAGAGATGTCTTGTATTATGTTCCTTTAGACAATTTTACAATAATCTCGAGGATAGGACTTTTTTCGAGTAAAAATTGTATTTGCTTGGCCTAACAGATTAATACTAACCAATTGTCAGAAGCTTGATTAAGTTTGTACAATTTTGAGTGACACTTCAATTTTTTATGTTGAATAGTTTTTATGGTCTTTAATAGTTAGATAATTAGCAAAATCTAATGTAAAATTTCTTATCAGGTTTCGTGTCTGTAGTCAGACGAAAAATGTGGGTGAGGCAATACGATGGTAGGTTAAATGCTTTTAATTATAGATTGAGAAAAAAACCTAACGTGATCTTGCCTCAGTTAACTAACTTCAACTGCAAAAATTATGTATAATTTTTAACCACATGTGAAGTGATATTTTTTTTAGTATTAACATTGCCCTGTTGTCGAACTGCTTCTCAAAATAATCAACCATTTGTGTGTTCACTATAGTTTCCGCTAATACTTGGCATTTGAAGTTTGTGTTTCCTTAAAACGTCTTCGTCAGTTTCGGACAAACGTCCGAATGTCTCGTACCGTTTCTTTGTCTGTGGCACCCCCTACCAAAGTCCCCATCTGGTCCCGTAAATCCGTTAACAAGCGAGTTTGACTAGATTCATAGTAGTGACTTGCCTAAATTTAACCACGATAATGGCTAGAATGTAGCGCTCATATTCATGCAGGTGTAGCGCCAAGTTGCTGCAGCACGCCGCCTCCCACTTATGACGGCCTGGAACAGGAACCTGGAGTGGTGCCTCTCACGGTAGGAACTGTCTCTTCGCTGCCTGCGAGGGTGCGGATGGGTTCCCATTCGTCCCACCAGTCGCATGCGTCGCACCACCACTCCGCGGTGAAGAGTTACAAAGAAGATGCTGTTAGGTAATGCATAATAATTATTTTTAATGGTCATTGATGTTTTGTTCAGTTGCAAACCTGTTCTTTTTGCGAAAAATAGAATATCTTGAAAAAATAGAGACCATTGCTCAAAAATTGTCCCTTTCAGTATAACCGATATAAAACTCGAATCTCGATCCGAAAATAAATCATCTCTAAGTGTGGAATCTGGCAGTTCGGGTGCGGGCCACTCGAGCCATTCTAGAGGCTTAGCATGGACGCCCCCCGCCTCGGTGGAGGGTTCGACGCCCACTTGGACAGAAGGTACTCCATCTTTTACCGAATCATCCAGTAGTGGAGACATGGGTGAGTGAATCGGTGGCATGTCTCTCATTTTTCCTTCTTTCTCTGAGATGGCACCATTAATTTCATGAAACGTGACAAAAAATATTGGTTCTTTTGCACTAAAAATAATTATAATTGATTCGTGAGCTACTCTTATTTTTTGCTAGTGGTGCCATCTCGTGGTCCTATCTAGATTAGCTTATTGATTATTCCATCTAAATATGTTGCGCTGTCCTCTCCTCTGTAATAGTTTTTGTTTGTCAAAGTCTGTTGAAATATTTATATATGCAAAGCTAAATACAGTAGTACAGAACTGTTCCTTGTATTGACACTAGCCGTTAGGTTTGTTATGTATACGTTTAAACTAGCACTGTAATAATCAATAACTCTAATCTTGTACGGTTGGTGTTGTAGAAGTCTCAAAAGCTGTTAAATCGTGACTGTAATAGTCGGGTTATTATTAAACCATTAATTTATGTTTTACTAGGATGAATGTTAGGAATAGTTAACAGGGCCCTATAGAAAATATGCAACCAGCATAAATTTTTGTACATTTTATTACATAGTTTGTCTAAATATGAATCAATGCACAAATAACAAGACTTTCCTCCATTCTAACGCATATTTTCTATAAAATGGAGTTAATTTGAAACTCAAATTACTTTTTGTTGTAAAGAAATTTGTAATTTGCCGCTTTTCAACATCGTAAATTACAAATTTCTTTACACCAAAAAGTTATTTAAGTTTCAAACTGAGTCCATTTTACAGAAAATCTGCGTTAAAATGGGGGAGTGTCTTATTTGTGCATTGATTCATATTTAAACTAACTGTGTAATAAAATCTATAAAATTATATTGCTGGTTTTCTAGAGTCTTCTTAAAAAGACATCCTTTCAGTTCTACAGTATTATTTATCCTCCCTACATTTAAAGATTTAAACACTGAAGCTACTCTTACACTAAATAATAAACTAAATGTACAAAATCTCTGCTAGGTATCGACTTGGGCTTCTACCTTGAATAATCTTTAACAAGAAACTCTGGCTCTAAAACAGATAGTTCAAAAGTATTACTTTTTACTATACATATTACATAGCAATAGAACCGCTTTCCATTTTTTTAAGTCTTATCAAAAGATATGCTTAAAGTATTTCGTTCCTTTTTTATTTTTAATCGTTGTGTGCAAAATATTTAATTTAGAATTATTTCTCTTCGTAAACAATTCCAGCTTAGATACATCGTGAGATATTTGTTGGCTTGCATATGCACTCTTGTCGAAATTTTCTATGACCGTTGTGTATAAATGCAGCTGAATTTAGTTGATACAGCGTTCAATTTGCTCCTTTAAAGTGTGGGTGATCGTGGGCTTGTTAGACTTCAAAAAACCCCAAATAAAAAAGTTCAATGTCATTAAATCGCATGATATGTGCGGCCAATTCTGAGCACCAAAATAGGAAATTGCCAGGAAATGAATAATTTAATTGTTTCTTGGGCTGTATGGTATCACACCAAATGCGACAATATTGTCGATTACCAAAGCCGTCAAGATAAAAATGGGCCTTATTGCTGAAATGGATTTTATTTGAAAAATCAGTGGCCACTAGATGAACTCTCTTTACTCTGCTTGGTCAGTAGGCCTCAGTTCTTGAGTCAATTGCACTTTGTAAGCACAAAGATCTAAATCTAAAAGAATATGCTGTAGAGAGCTCAAAACGTCCAATTCCACGGTGCCAAATTGATGTTCCTGGACTCTCAGCAACACTCTCACTGACTGCTTCGATTTAACGTATCAAGTGAGTCAGAAAAATTTGAATACCTTTAGTTCTCGGTGGTTGTCAAATAGCATATTTACACACATATTGTTTATGATTTTATAATTATTTATTGGAAACAAAAAAACGTTGAAATAATAAATTTTATTTTCAAAATATAATTTAAGAAAACACAACAACTTTAAATAATTCTACACAAAACTTTATATACAAAAACTCTAAATCTAAATTCTGTTCTCGGATAATCATCCGATTCTTAAAAGTATTCGAGAACCGAGTTGTCGTTTCTTCAAAATACTCGATTCTGCCCATCACTAATGAAAACGCATTGTTCTTTCGTGTAGGGCTCCATGTTTAATAACCCTGAGCTGTCAGCGACATGTTGTTCTTTTTTGTTGGCAACACTTTCCGCATCAGTGTCGCAAAATTCAAATCATGTGAATTTTAAAACATCCGATATAATGAAAGTTACTAAATTCATTCACTCATGTTAATATTATTTTGAGGAGATCCGATGAAAGATGATAAACAAAAAAGCATACATATATTGACTTTATTTTATTCATTTTATATTCATATAACATTTATATGAAAATAACCCTATTTCATTGTTTGATACAGCTTTTGAGACATTCCATTTTAAACCCATTTTGTAACAAATACGATTTTCAAAATGAACCATATAGAGGTACTATGAAAATATTTTGAGAATCGTGTTATATTAAAGTAAGTAGTTGAGAATAAAGGGTGTATAATAGGATGTCCCACCACGCCGTTGCGCCAAAGCTCCCACACCAAAGTGCACCACAAGAAGACCGTGGAACACGCTATCAACTGTCTTACCACAGAAATGGTAAGTCCAAAGCGTTGAATTTGAAAAGAACCAGTGGAATATTAACACAATTAGATCAGTTAAGCATATGTAATGGCAATTTTATGATGTTGAGTTTTATGAGAGATTTTTTATTAACAAAGTGGTTTATTTGTGAACATTGGACGTAAATAACGTATCTTTATTTTTATTTATTAATTTGTTCTAAATAATCGATTACAAATGCTTAAATGAAAGACATCCTCAATTGTCACCTTAGTCACAATGCACCACTGATTACAATAATGTAAATCAGTTGTTATTACACATTTCTAAGGAAACCGTAAAAGTATATTTATTTGTTAACTTAAATTTATTTACTTTTAGTGAACGTTAGTAGTATTTATTCTTTGGTAGTCTAAAAAAATAAATATATTTTAAGGGTTTCCTTATTTTTAAAATTTCCCCGTTGCCGTGTACACATACAGCTTTTTTTCTTAGATATGCTCCCCCTCTCTCTTTCTTTATTATAGCATGCTTTTGTAGCCTTCCATTTATAATAATTTGTTTTTTCTACATACATACCAATTATTAGGTGTTTACTAACGTTAAAACTTTAATACAAGGTAGTTAAAAAAATGCTGTAACGATCTCATTTTTCACATGATTTTATTGATGAGGAAACCAAGTTGTGGGTAAATACCATAATTTTGTTTTTAATTCATTAAAGTGCTGTAAAAAATCCATTAACATCTTCATGCAGTCATTTTTGTACCTCATCTTTTATATGTATTTCAAGCTTACTTAAATGTGTTAATGAATATTTAACTAATATCAATATGCAATTTTTGTATTTCAGTAACAAATTCTTGTGCCGGAACTTTTTAGATCATCTTTTGTAAATATATACTAAAACAGCTCAGTTGTATTTAATCCATTTATTTCTGGTTAATTTAATATTTTCTAGATTGATTTCTCTATCCTCAGACATTTCTTGATTTAGCTCGATTATTTATTTACCCAGCATGTTTGTAGGTTGTTACTAAATGCTCACAATTTATTTTGTATCGTTGATAAAAACTTGGCTAACCTCTTTAAGTTTATGTATAGCTGTTTTAAATTTTATTACATTTTCAACGTGTACACAGCCTTCTGAACATGTGATGATTTCCAAGACAAAAATGTTCGTAATTTCAGGTGCATAATTGTTGTTTTTATGAAAATGAATCATTTGATGACTTTTCAGTGTTAAATTTGGAGATCAATCTTAATTCAGTCAGATATTGAGTTTTCTGAGACTATCCTCAAGGAATTTAATACTGGTTTCAAGAAAAAATTGTAATTCCTAGTTAGTATTACGTGTGTAATTATTATCAAACTTTGAATTGATTCGTCATAATAGTTCCAATCCTGCTTCTGATTTGAAACACGAAAGACAGTTATTTCATGAAATCAGACTGTAATGACATTTGGTCTTCAAATCTTAGCCTGTGTACACTAACAACATTTATATTTTTCGATTTTTGTTTGCTTTTGGATGATTAGGAGCAACTGAAGAATCGTGTCGAGTCGGATTACAAATGAACGGAAACATTGGCGATTCCTCTCATAAGAGATACTGTAAAGTGTAATAGCACACTGATCCTATATATACATCATATCATTGCATCACATTTCTGTTTGTCAGCTTGGCCTCTAGTGCGGACTAAAACAGTGGCTTGTTGCCGCCACGTTTTTGTGATAAACTTTATCGTATTTTTATAATCATGACTAACGTGTTACACTGTTTGTCATTAACTTGGTTTTTATCCTCTAACATTAGATGTGTGTTCTTCGCTTAGGTTTGTGTGTTCCGTTTCATATTTATTATTTTAGTTATTTATTATTTATTTTTTTCCTCTTATTGTAGCGCATCGAGAAAAGATATTTTATCACTCGGTGGAGGAACTGGTGACACCATAAAAACCAAGTTAAACATTTTCCACTTTGTACAGTATTGATAGAAATAATATAGGCCTCGGATGAAATATGTCAGTGAACCTTTTCGGTTTTTCATTTATCCCAGTTATAGTTTTTGCTGATATATTTCCACCGTCTTCATCGCTTCTTGTTAAACAAAATATTTATATCAGCGTGCGGTAGCCAAAGTGATGTTCTTTTTCAAATAATTTTACACTTAATGGTTTTTTGAACAGAAAATATTCTCGTATCCTCACGAATCTTCCCAATGCATTTAAATGTCTATCCATGATCAGTTATTACTGGAAATGTAGGATGGGTGTGTATAAGACTTGTTTTCTCTTCATTAAACTGTATTGGGTGTTATATAAAACCTTCATAAATGATTATAAGCCACATGACCAGTAATTTTGTTTGGAACAGTAAGATCAAGATTACATTAAAACAACATTCTGTTTCACCGGCATAATTTTTCATGAGATTTTATTCAACGAATTATTGATCGCATTATCTTGAGCTTAGATGCAGTAGTTTGTCATTGTTCATTGTAAATGAATCATTATATTGATAAGATTTACGGACTTTTAGTTGATTTTATGAGTCGTGCAATGTTGGGGTGCCTAAGCTCGACAGTCCCGTGGCTTGTAATCATTTGTGAAGGCTATGTGCTAACCAACGTATAACAATTTAGAATTTTCAATTTCTTTAGCAATTTAGTTTTGTAATGACAAAAAAATCCAAAAATCCGGATCTAGCATATTTCGAGACTGTGTCTTACAAATTAAAGCGTAAAAAAGCAAAAAAAAAACACCGAATTATAAAGAACATGCTTTTTAGTTACCGCACAAAGTTCCCTGTCTGCTACATTCCACATAGATATAGTAGTATAAAAAAAGCTGTTATTATATAATTATTGATATAACTGCAATACATAATGTATTATAATGTATAAATGGATGTTTATAAAAGTTGCTTCGTATATTTCTCAAATCTAAATGTGATTCATAACAATACAAACATACAGAATGTTTCAATACGAAGCTTATTTTTAAACTTTATTAAAAAAAAATAGTTCATTCGTACTATACTTAGATTCAGTATACTCTTTTTGTTCAGTGTTTGAAACATTTTGTATTAATGTAGATTTAGAGGCAATAATATCAATATTTTATCAAACAATATTCAAAATTGTCCTTTGATAAAGGAAACTAAGATGTAAATACTATATTTTTTTATATTTTGACTTTTTTTACTTTCTCTTATTTATGTACAGTTAAATTTTCTTAAAATATGGATAGGTACCCAGATTATTAACTTACGATCATACTTTTAGTATAGCATAAAATAGGTAAAATTTGAAGTTAAAAAAATTTTGGTTAATTTCTCATGTTCAGGTAATGGTGTGCCAATTGAATTAAAAGAAAAATCCAAAACATTTTCATTTAAAATTTGAACCACTTGAAAGTTTTTTTATCGTTGCTATCATATCACGACCGGTAAAAGGAGTAATTTATTTTTGGCTGAAAAAATCTGAAAAAAAATTTGTTAGTACCTACTAGCAATACTGAATCGTTTCCACCCTAAACGGACCAACCCCCTCACCCTCCTTTCCTCCTCCACCCCCTTTAAATGCCGGGGAAACCATCGCTTATTAGAGGAATCTTTAAAGAGCTTAGAGATGCGAAAGTCATTCAATTCCTATGAATTTTACATATGAAGAATTTTTTGGGTCGCTTATCACGAAAGAATCACGAAATTCAAAATGGCGGATCCAATATGGCGGACAAGACAATTGAAACGTCTTCAAAATGCATGAATTTTTTTGTAATGGGTTTTTTGGGTCTATGATTATGAATCTGGACTCTAAATCACAAAATTCAATATGGCGGATTCAATATGGCGGAAAAAAAAATTAAAATGTCTTTAAAATGCATGAATTTTTGTGTAGTGGGGTTTTTTGGGTCTCTGATTATGAATCTGAAGACAGAATTACGAAATTCAAAATGACGTATTCCATATGGCAGACAAAAAAATTAAAAAGATTTCATAATCCTCAAATATTTGTTTATAGAAACTTTCTTGGATCACTGATTACAATTATGAATTCAAAATAACGATATTCAAAGTGGCTAATCAAATATGCACAAACATGTATGTATAATTATTGATTTTTTTTTTCGTTTTATTCAATGTAAATATGTGATCTCATTTAAGGGGGTGGAAGGGGAAAGAAGGTTGAGGCGGTTGATCCGTTTAGGGTGAAGACGATTCAGTATTGCTAGTAGGTACTAAAAAAAAATTTTTCAGACTTTCAGCCAAAAATAAATTATGCTAAAAACCGGCATTAGGGACCCTCCTCCTTTATTTAAAAGATTGCAAATATCTGCCTTGCACAAAACAGTTTCAGTTATCAAAAAATGAACAGTATTAACATGGACACTTGAACTTTTGTGATTTCTTTCAGTTTTTTTTTGTTTTGTTTTACTGTATCATAAAAACTGTTGTTATTCGATTGATAGCTAAAAACTAGTTAATATTGTTGCGTACTTATATCAAACTGTTCGGTAAGAGCAGAGTGGTAGATTTTCTTACAATTTTTATATGTATATATAATTTTTTATATGTGGTTATTAGTCAATTTGTAGATTTATCAAAACATGTATGCCGAAGGCGTAAATATTCGGAAAAAATACTTGTAAACCATGGCTCAGGTGAAAACATATAGGCTCTATTATCGCGTTGTGTAGGGAGCGCTTGATTTGTTGGCATAAACGAATTTTTATATCGCATTGTTACTTGTATAAGTTGTTAGCTAATTCTCCATTACCTATTGTTTATGCTTAGTGGGATATCGCTTTGGGAAATATAAATATTTCAACATTACAAACAGGCTTTTATTTTCCAAAAATCCCTATGTAATATTTTAATTTACGCATAAATGGATTTTATATACCGTTTAGATTGATTTTTGTGCCATAGTTTGACAAATATCACTCGGGTCCTTAATACAACGTACACTACGAGTGAAATTTGTCATCCTGTCAGTCATTAAAATGTTAAGTATTCATTTCGTTGTTACTCATCACCATGCCGATCTATTATTTGGTTTTCCGCACCAGAACTTCATGAGTAGTTGCACAAAAGCATGCTTTTTAATCGGGGAGAGTTTATTTCCGTACCGTCGCCCATCGTTTTCATTTTGAATTTTCATTTTTAGACCCATCTTTGAGAACCAGCAGGCGCTAGCCAATTTTTTTACTGCCAAAAATTTATTCCAAATATTATACTTACTCAGGATCGAGGTAAGATTCGCTGCTGCTGAAGGAAAATAAAAAATACCCACCCCGTCACAGTTTTGCTTTTGCTTAGAAACGGCCCATGCGATAAGTTGTATTTTTTATTTTTTTCCTTAAAGGAAATGGTGATATTTTTTATGTTCATGTGAGTATAGTAAGCTTACATTTAATTAGGAGTAAGTCTTGGAGAAATAGCATTGGTATACTTTTTGAAATGAAAAGTATTTGTTATGTATTGGATTATACAAAGCGTTTTAGACAAACAAGACTAGGTTTATTACTTAAATGAGTAATAAATTATTTAGTTTTAAACGAATGTAAATGAAGAAAATATTTATTTTAACTGAATCTCAAGTTTTCCCTTAATAATGAAGTTTTTTTTCCATTTCACACTATTGTGTTTATTACATTTTCTTTTAAACTTCATATGCTTCGTGAAATGAAACCATACTAGAGTTTTTTATTGAAAAGTGAGGAACTATGTATATATGTATTAAATACAGTATAAAACATATGTTATTTATTTATGCTTTAAGATGTGTGGTACTATTTTTACTGTTAGCGCTTTTTTTTATTAAATGGTTTTATTTTTGAATTATGCACATGACAGACCTCGGTTGAATCATTTTTAAATAAATATTAATATTTTCATTAATATGTATAATTTAAACAAAATAAATCAGCCCCTGACTGTCGTGTGCAGTGCTACTTATAGCCAATTTCTAATGCATGAAATTGTGAACAAACTATGTACTTAAGGAACCTGCTTTAATTTTTCCTTTTTTTTTTTTTCATTTTTTATTCATTACAAACTTCAAAGCATAGATAATTTCTTAGATAATTCACTATCGGCCAACTTTGCACGTTTTCACGAAATTTCAAAAGACTTTTTAAGCTGAGTATTTAGCTAGGAAATAATGAATTTGGAAGATATTTTACTAGTACAGTGGAGATAGAGTCAGAAGATCCTTTGAAATTATACGAAAATCTGCAAAGATTGAAAATTCTGATTACATAAATGCATTTTCGATCGTTCCTGTTACAGAACTACATTGACAATGTATTGTCTTCTTTCAATGTGGTTCGTTTGAAAAATTACACTTGAAATTTCTTCCATTAATTCATAAGTTTGAAGTGATTTATATGTTTTAACGTTACCCTTATTATGTAATATTTAATTATTTATGTAAGTACGTCCTTTATTTTAAAGCTTATCCTGTAATATTTAGTACAAATATTTGTTCGCATCATTCCATATTTTGAATTGTAAAATTCCTAAATTTTAAATATATTTTTTAAAAACAAAATTGTCTTGATTTCAATATTTTCCATTATCAAACAAATGTATACGAATAAAAAATTTATTTACAAAACGTACAAACGTGTCTTAGATCTAAAACTTTTTCAAACACTGCATAACTATATTTCTTAACTTAGTCCTTAACTGTTCATCAGCGTTACACACAACGTGAGTGCTGTTGTCTTCAAGTTGTATTAAAGCATCCTCGTCTTGCTTAATGGAGAAAATAACGAGAATGTAGGCTTTTAAGCAAAAATCCAAGATGTCTGGTGAAAATTAAAGTGGTCATTTTTCACACATCCAGACTTTATGACAAAAAAATTTTGGACAAAAAAATTTAAAGTAGGGATGAACAACCCCAAGATTTCAAAATAGGTTGCACATAAATATGCAAAATATTTTCTTCGAAAGTAACGGTACTATGAAGTTCAAAAAAGTAGTCAGTTTTTTAAGAGGTAATAGTATGTACCCCAGAAAACTAATGATTTTTTTCAGTTTAAATAAAAAATAATTGGGTTATAATTCATTTTTTAAACTGATCTTAAACTCTTGTCTACGCCACTATTGGGCAGTGCCCAAACTCGGTTGTATGTGCGCACTTATCAGTGTTGCCTGTTTTTACCTTTTTAAAGCAGCTTGTGAAACTAACAAATTGATAGAGAGTGAAACAAAAATGGAAAATAATTTTGTAAAAACAGATTGTTTTTGTATAACTACGACATGTTATCTTAAGCTATGGTTTGTTAGAGCTGTAGGCGATGCAAAGCAGACAGTCAGTTGTGCGCGTCGGATTTACATTGGAATCTACAACACAAGAAGCATAGCTGGTTTGTTAGACTCTGCTTAGGTGGACTCACGGTAGGCAGAAAATTATGTGTGTCGTCGGTTCAGTTGAAATAAAATTCGATTTGATTTCAACGCAGTCGTTCAGTTGAGCTCACGGCATACAGTGTTAAAAAAGCGGTTATTTTTAATGAATTTGGCAACCAAGTTTCACCAGAGGAAGACGTACAAGAACATCCTCCATTGTATACCGTCCCTTCACTTTTATTTTGACAACTAATTAAATTTAAAAGATCTTTTTCATGTTCTTCCTCAATAAGTACTGTTAGCAAAAAATGTTCAGCCATTGTCATAAAAAAAAAAATTTGCCAAAATAATAATAAATATTTTCGTCTGCACTTACCAGCATACAATCACAAGCACTAAATCTAACAAAATGCCCCCCCTTCAAAACCGATAAAGTTGAACGCTACAGATTCTGCTAACCGCGTATGTCGTCTGCGACACACAGTTCTAACAAACCAAAGCTTTAGCCACCATATTTTTTTGTTAATTCGGAAAAAGTGCTGAATAAGAATTGTATATTTTTGCAAAACTTTATTAAATATTATAAGCATGTCGTATTATCGCCACGGTAGCGCAGTCGGTCGAGAGGCAATGTCAATGGATAATGGGTGTTTGTCCGCATTTTTTCAAGTGTAGCCCCCTTCCGCACAAGCCTTTGGCTTTTGGATTTGGGGGTTGTCTCATTTCTGTGGTGTGTCTTATGTTTATGTTTTATGTGGATAAACGTACTACTAATAATTGTAAGTAAAACTAACGTTTTAAAATAATTATTTGAATTGAATTTTTTTTTAATTTTTTTCTCGTTATTTTACCATTTTCTAAATTGAAAAAAATCGCGATTCTGAAAATTTCAAATCGATATTTTAACTTCTAAAGGTCATTCATAATTATTTTAACTTTAAAAGTAGTGTACCTAAAATGTTTTTGAGCGACCTCTAAAAATAAATATCAACGAACTAATAATTTTATTTATTGAATTTGATGAACAAAGGAATAGAAATAAATCACGACACTTAAATTTTAAAAAATTTAAAAATTATAAATATTTGATACAGTGCAGTAGTAAAAAATATGTAAAAGTACTTATTACCGTGATAGACTTGAAAATTTTTTAAAATCATTTTGTTTTTTTAATAAATATTAGTTACTATTTTATTTAAAGCACTGTGTTTAGTTTGCAATTCTCAATGTCGATGACCTCTAACACTGACCTAGTTCAAGTGAACTACAATACGTAATATCAATCTACCTGGTGTGATAGGAACTGCTAGACGTGCAAAAAATGAATTGCGACGTTAATTCAGAAAAATGGGAATGGTGGAACATGTCAACGCTTCATTTTATTACATTCTTTTTTGTTTTTTATTGGTTTAGGAGATGTTTGTAATACAGCAAGTAATTCTATTACTTCTATGCGACATATTAGCTCTTATTGGAATCAGGGCAGAATTTGAATATTGCACTGTTGTATTTTATAAAGCTTAATTATATAGCAAAATTTGAAATAGTATCTAATAAAGTGTCTTATGTAGTTAAGTTTTACAAACCTTACAGTTATTTATTTGTGTTTAGTGACGGTGTATGGTGTATTTGAGTTTTCATTGTTAAATTTCTGTGATTTAAAACACACGTATACGAATAAGATAGATGAGATTTGACAACAGCGTGAATCATAAACCCAATTGCAAGCCTTTCCAACATCTAAGAATTGGCCAGCCCTATTTTATATTTTTATTTAACAAACTCGGTCTGAAATCTTTCATCAGAAAAGTTCCCTATATATCCCGTACGTTTCATTACCAAAATAAGACCATTCTAATTTTCACCAGCCACCACAGGCACAAATACACTTACCAAGTGAATTACAACAACGTTACTTCCTAGAGACTCCACCTTGGCATCCGTTATACCTTCTTGCGATAACTTTTGCAAGAACTCTGTTATATTCAGCGAACCCCATTCATACTTTACAAACTTGTTTATTCTACTATCCGAACCTGGCTCCTACAAAAACAAAATGCATTTATCGAAAATATTATCATTGCCAGTTATTTGTACCTGGATGTTGTGAATATTGTCTTTCACGTTAAGTGTGCCTGTGACTGTGGACAAACTGATGCCCGGTTTCACTTCTACAGGTACGATTTTTTGTGCGACGTTGGTCTCAACGAACACTTGAGCCTGTTTTCTCTTTAGAGGTAAATTAATCACCTGGAACCGAAAAAGGATATTAATTTTCTTGAGCGAGATTGCAAGTAGAATATTACAGTAACCAAATTGTTTTACTGTACTCAAATTAGGATTAACACAAAAATGTAAAGTCCGGGTCACATTACTGTTATACAACAATTAAAACTGATCTCCGGTAGGAATTAGAAACTGGGAATAAATGCCCTACGAGTATACTTCAGTGCCAAAATAGTAGGTAGTAGTCAAAGTACAATTTTGTTCCGTTGATTTTGCATAGTGTTCCAATAAAGTCCGCCTATTTCTATCTTTGTTTATTATGTACAAACAGAGATGGCTTAGACTGTATGGTTTAACTTTTTGAAGTCCCACCCTGCCTCAGTTTCCAGCTCAGATATGTCAGTGTGTGTCATAGGCGTACAAGTGAGAATTATTCCAATAAATGCTGTTAAAAGTAGGATCAGGGTGTTAGCGATCAATCTAATAACCAGGGTAATTTAGTCCACGCACATGCCCCCCCTTGATTACCAGATACTTTATAACTCGTGAGGAGCTTTGTTTTGACGAGTCTACCACACTTTTCCTCTGCGAGTGTTCTCGATTCCTCCACTTTTCCACGCGGAAAAGTCCAAAAACATGGCACTTTCCCGGGGTCTTCAAAAGTCGAGACCACATCTTTTTTTTTTTAGCTTAAGCTACTGGAAATTTTGTTGCAACTGCCGATATAAATTTGTCCGACAGAAATTCTTCCGACATTGACGTGTCTACCAGCCGAAACATTGAAAATCAATTACCACATAGGTAATTTTTAGTAAAATTAATTGTAAATAATTAATTCTGTCAAAAAGTATTGTCCTACAAATTTCAAGCTGCGTTTTTTCAGTCCGACAGCTGGAAATCAGAATTTTCACAGGGTATGATAAATCGATTACCACATATCTAATTTTCATTTTTTTCACTTTTAAATTTACTGTACAAAATAATGATATAAGTGTCCGACGATTTAATGTCCCCAAATTATTAAAAAATCAATAAATTAATAATTGTGATGAAATTTAATTTTTTCACTCCAAAAATTTCATATTTATAAATGGTTATTAATTATTATTATGTAAATTATTATTTGTTTTAAATAAATAATTATAATATTGCTTATTTTATGCTTAAAAATTTTAAAGTTATAAACGCAGTTATTTTTGAGACGATTAATCAATACAAAATTCAACATATTCAAACTATTTTCTCCTATAATACTTTAAAAGTTCCCGCCTTATGTTCCTTTCATGAGTAGTAGCAACTATAACAGGTTTAGTAGTAAACCAGTATAGTTAAATTACTGTCGACGGTAATTTTATAGATTTAAGACCATAATCAATTAGTATTGCTTTGACCAATGTAGTACTTACTTAATTTTTAATAATGTAATTTTTTTAAATTTTAATATTTCGACAATAACAATTTTAACCAAAAAATGTTGACCTGTTTCTGTTCATTTGTGTGGTCACAATTTGTTTTGTTAATTAATATCAGTCTTTTTCCAAGTGAAATGTTTATAATTTTATTATTGTTATGTTATGTAACTCCTGAAGAGAGAATGATTTTTTTGAAAGCTTGAGATGAAATAGAGTTTTCAACCTTTATTGTTTTTTCCCAAGACCCAATTACTTAACCAAAAATTTTATATGGAATTTTGCTTAATACATGAAAATACCTTATTAGAAATTATAAATACATGTGCACATTTTTTACGAAATTTGTTTCATATTTTTTTTGTTGGATTAACGATTTGCGGATATATTTTTGTCGGACATTACAATTTTTGCCTATAAAAAACACTTTTCTATCGTGTGTTATTTTTGTCCGACATGTGGTAATCGATTTATCACACCCCGTGAAATTTCCGATTTCCAGCTGAACTGAAAAAATGCGGTTTGAAATTTGTCAGACAACAATACTTTTAGACTGAATTAATTATTTACAATTAATTTTACTAAAAAATACCTATGTGGTAATTGATTTTCAATATCATTTTGGCATGTTTCAGCTGGTAGACACGTCAATGTCGGAAGAATTTCTGTCGGACAAATTTAAATCGGCATTTGCAACAAAATTTCCAGTAACTTAAGCTAAAAAAAAAATGTGGTCGTGACTTTTCAAGACCCCGGAAAATTGCCATGTTTTTGGACTTTTCCGAGTGGAAAAGCGGAGGAATTGAGAAAATTGGCAGAGGAGAAATGTGGTAGACTCGCCAAAACGAAGCTCCTCACGAGTTATAAAGTATATGATAATCAACTTTCCAGGGGGGGGGGGGCTGTATTTTGGACTAATTGTAAACAACCAAATCTGAGTGATTCAGAACTTTGTATGACAAACAATGAGTAAGTATAGGAAAATTCAATCAAAACACGGAAGTGTCGGTGAGTGATGCTGTAGAAATGTGCATTCTTTTACAAAAGGGTCTGTTTATCCATGTGTTAAAAAGTGATACAGGCATAAAAAAAAGTGAAACACGTGGCAAGAAAGAAAGTAACATTGACAATGACGTTAAATATGCAATCTGTACGAAAATTCACAATTTTATTTTGAAAATGAACATCGCCACATTAAAGAAATTTCAAACTGCAATCACAGATGATGGAGATTTGCCTATATCGCCAGAAAAACTTTTAGTGCATAGTATGTATAAAATTTATATTCTTTACTTAAAACGAAATCAAAAATGAAATGAAAAATTATAATATGGAGTATGTATTTAGAAAATATAATAAGTGTTGTACAACGAAAGTAAAAATTCATTATCTCCAAGATTTGGCTAAATTTAAATATCAAAAGTAATCGAGAAGCATTTTTAGAAGGATTTTCTACGGGATCAAAGACACCCTCTGGGAAAGGACGGCAATTAATAATTAGACTTATCAAAAGTGAATACAGATAGGACGGAACTTGAAAAATATTTTGCGTATATTTTGTCACGGGTAATGTATCTTCCGATAATCGACGAATAGAAAAATTGCCAACATTTGAATGGAAAACATTGAATATAAAGACATGGTGTTAAAAATACAATTATTAGTAACCGCACAAAAATAACAAATCAAATATACGAAATATGTTGCGGATGAGGTGGCTAAAGCACGCAATGTTATATTTCTTCGATTGTCACTAAATCACTGTGAGCTGAACCCCATTGAATAATCTGAGCAAAAATAAAAACTTATATGGCACGAAATAACATAACTTTTAAATTAGGGGATGTAAAAGTACTTCTGCAAGAGACAATTAATCCTGTAACTGAAATGTGAAAGGCTGACAATCACGCTGCCCCCCCAGCGGTGGAAGACCCAACGTCTACAAAAATTGTGGGCAGTGTTAACAATTAGACAGGTCCTATTATTCTGTATATTAAATAATGATAGTGAGAATGTGTCACTGCCCTGTCAGATTGAGCACTAATCCAGATAATGTGTGCTTTAGAGTGACTCTTCTGAGTGTTTTTTTCCATGTGATAATTTAGTATTATCTCGTAGTGTTTTCGACCAGTTCATAGTGACAGAATTAATTTTCTTCAAGATTTCAATAGTTACGGATAAGTTACTAGATAACCGCAAACTAATGTTCACTGGATGTACATACCTGTGCAGTGTTTGATATAGTTCATATTTGAATGTCACGAGCAACTTTCGCTGGTAAATCAAATTTAAAAAAATCTTTCTGTTTCTGACTTAAAAGTATGATACACTTGCTATATGTGAAATAAATTTAATGGGATACTCAAAACACGTTACGTTTCAGATTTCATACCTCCCCCCACTTATATGGTATCAACGTACTGTCCGGATGGTTGCTTATCACCAATTCTGTCAAATTTGGTGCCGAAACTGGTGGCTGGGTATAACATTCCGGTACAACCAGCGTCTTCGGCTTCAGATCTCTAATGAGTTTATTCGCCTGTGTAAAATTCAATGAAGTGTCAATTGCACAATGAGCCACCTTTATCTGCAAGGGCTGATACGGGGCCAAAGCTTCAATGTAATCGTAATCTGGTTCTAAAAGTGTGACATTGTATTATAAATTTAAAAAAAATTAAAATATCAGTTACCTGTGAATACTATACAGTTTCTAGGATTATTACCCCAAAGTTCAATAAACTGAACGACGTCTCCAAACCTCAAACTGGGGTGTCCACAAAAAACAACACAAGGCTGCAGGCAAGACAACAAATTTAACAATCAAAACAATCGCGTTAATACAATAGATTATAATACTTAAGAAACAAGTATTAAATTTGATTTTTGTACAGATATAAATTTTCAAAGTGCTGTCGGTAGACAAGTGTTTTAATGAAACGCTCATCTTGAAAATCGTGAACATTATTAATTTTCAAACTATTTTCACAAGTAGCAAAATAGACAGGTAAACAAGAAAAGAACAGGGATATTTAAAAAACATACTCACTTCTTGAAAGTCGGTACTAAACCCTTCCGAATATATATGCTTGAAGTGTTTCAACTTATTACTCTTCACTAACATGGCATGAGGGAATGGTTCGTCCGGAACGTACACCTTATTCTGTTTAACAGAAGACAACCACTCGGCTAAAATGTTAGAGTACGCCAATGACATATCGGCTACTGGTGATACGAAAAACATCGGGCAATTGGAAACGCCCAGTTCCTGCATTTTACCCGACAAGCACTCGAAAAGGTCATAAACTACCCCAGTTGGATAACAGGGTATCAAAACATTGCCACCACCTCTCAACGTCAAGCCTTCATAAAACATAATGTAAAAAACTATACTTTAATGATACAATTAATCCCGTCTTACCAACAACTACACATAAAACTCCCAGCATTGAATCAGGGTTACTGATAGGGGTTTGGGTGAGATCAGTCATAATTAAAACATCAGCACTTTTAAGTGCATGATGGTCCATTGGCCTTGGATGTGTGGTGAGTGTACTTGAGCCACTAAGATAAACGATTTTCTCATGTTCTGTGCTTATAACCCAATTAGCTGATCCCAAACAAAAGCCTGAACTTGCTGGGATAACTTGCAAAGCACCATACACATTCTAGAAATTATTCTATTTATTCACAAAAAAAATTACAAAAGGGTTTCTTACAATCTTCTCATTATATCCCACCATCTGTATTCTCGATAAACTTGCATTAACACTGTTCATATTATAAATCTGCCTCCATGACTTTGGTTTAAAGGATTCGTTCAATGGATAGGGGCATTTATGCAAAAAATTTTTCCATTGTGCAGCAAAGTTAGCTTTAGGACACTGTTCAATATATATAACCAACTCTTCTAGTAACAACCTTAAAATATGTCTTGTTTATTTACTGTAAGTAAAGGATCAACTAAATACCTTCCAATTTGTAAGGTGGGCTCGGTAGCATATACTCTACCTTTAAAACCTGTGCTCTCTGTTATAAACGGCAATGCCATCATGCATAAGTAATTGGAAATAAGAATAACATCTACTTGAGAAAAATCTATAAGTTTATCCAAAGGAGGGCAAAACTCGGGAGGAGAATCTACAAAAACTCTGTCTCCATTTTCTTTTAATTCCTACAAACAATTTAGTTTAAAAATTTTATAGTTAACAGTTTGAAAAAGAACTTACCCCTTCTAGGTCGGGATCTGAAGTATCGCTGGGCATCCAGTTAGGCAAATTCATTAATTTGTTAGATGGTACAAATGATAAAGGTAAAAAATTTAATAAAGATTGCATAGAGAGACCACAATCCAACATCATGGTAATTTCTCGGAATGTTAAAACATGGCATGGTTTATTTGGATCGTTACTTAAACAATACTAAAAAATAATAGAGAATATTAGATTGTATTTAACTTTACTGTAGATTTTACTCACTAATTTCATATTGCTGATTGTTTTATTTTATAAATGTCGAACTTAACCTAAAATATTGAAATGGAAGATAAACAAATTAAATATCAAAATTATCAAATGAGTACTGAACATGATTTTGCACTCGTATCTACCTTCACATGGATCGCCTCCAATACTACATAGGTATTTTAAATTTTATAGGTCTGTTTCTTGTCAGGGTCTTTTTACACCAATGAGAGACGAACGAACTACTATTTTTTGAGTTGGTACGTACGTGTTCCGTGGTTGATATCGAAAGACCCGGCAAAAATTTATTCGTGTCGACTTGTTGACATACATCAACTGTGTTTGGTTTTTGATTTCTAACGTATTTGTTCCATTCTATTATGGAACTAAATATTGCTTTTCTTAATTTACCAAAAACTACAACATTTCAACTAAAACAAATGGGTTATAATAATGTCAGTGATATCGAACCAAACTTAATTAAAGAAAAGTTTGATGTGGAAACCAATTTATGTGTACCAGAAACCAAATCTGCACTTGAAATTTATAATGAAGAACTTTTAAATGGATGTATTCTAAGTTATAACGAAAAGTTAGATTCTGTCTTGTTGGATGCTATTATACCCAAAAAAATAACAGAGTTAGCTGGAGAATCAGGTTCTGGAAAAACACAAGTCTGGTAAAAATTGTTAGCAATGATACGAAACATGTATGAAGACATTCACTTTATAGCTTTCATCTGTGCATCTCAGTTCAATTACCAAAGTGGTGTGGAGGTATGGAAGGTGAAGCGATATATATAGATACAAATAGTAACTTTGCATCTCACAGAGTAACAGGTAAGTTTATTTGAAAATATTATATTAGCTTATATCAGATTTTTAGAGTTAGCAGAAGATTTGATAAAGAAATATAATTCTATAAAATCATCAGTAGATGTTCCTTATGTCGAGTTTGATAAAACTTCTATTCTGCAACACATTTATTACATTAAGATCTGCGATGTTGTAGAATTACTGGCATGTATTAAACAGTTAGAAAATTATCTGTCAGGCAAACAAGTAACGCTTTCTAGAAAATAAATGCAAATTATGTTTACAGTTGAATGTTTTAGGTTCGTCTAATTGTTATCGATAGTTTTGCATTTATTATGAGAATGGTAGATTTAAAAGATAGGAAAACATTAATAAGTAAGATACTTTGCGATCTCCGCAGTTTAAGTAGAATACACAACTTGATTGTAAGTAAAATAGAACTTCAATACAGGTTTTATTAAACCAATTGGTTTTAGGTAGTTATAACCAATGACTTTACCACACGGGTAAATAAAGGAGAGTCTTACATCACCCCTTCCCTAGGGGATAGTTTTTATCATTTAATAAATACAAGAATATTGTTGTCTAAGAAAGACAGCTTATTTCAGGCGAAATTGGAGAAAAATATTATTCACGGCCAAAAAGAGACATCTTTTTATTTATAGAATTTACATTTTAAACTTTTGTAATACAATTTTTATTAAAAACGCATTCTTATTGAATCCTGCATCATTGTGTTTCGTAGAGCATTACAAATCTTCCTTGTAACCATCAGAATTATTCTGACACAATATAATTTGATACAAAAATGACTAAGCTACATCACAATTAACACTTAAGATTAGGCCTTATTCCATTTAAATAAAAAAAGAAAGAATAATATTAACAAAATTGATAGATTTTTGTACATATACATTAAAAGAATGTAATAGAAATCATGTAAGTATTTGAGAGCATTTCGACAAATAGGTATTCATTTTAGCCTTTGTGAACACACAGCATAGGTACAAAAAAGGTATAAATAAATTGTATCTCTAAATGTGTCAAAGTTCTACAACTACTACTACACACTGTTCCTTCACTTCTGATAAGCCACATTTAAATATTTGCAAAAAGCATAAGCTCGAGTGAAAATGATTGGAAAACTATGAAATATTTGATATTTGCCAAAATGCACTCTATGCAATAACTACACTATTAACGATAAAGAATATAAAGATTGTTTTTGGTGTGTAAATGTAAGTAAAAATGGAAGGCAAATGTGCAGTCTTAGTAATTAACATTAAATACAATTGTTTTGAATCTTATGGCCCATTTGCTGTTAACCACAATTAGGAGAAAGCCTAAGAGATAAACATCAGATTATAGAGTGTAACATCCTTACATAAAAAGGTCAAAAAATTGATTGTCCAAATATTTTTTTTTGGAGACATTGAAAACAACACTTAGTATTAGTTCATAAGAACTACATTTTATTAATAGCTGGACAAACAACACGATTTAAGCAGTCGGAATTGTGTAAACATGTAGATATAAATCCATTTAATATTTTAAAATATTGGTACCTAATTATATCTTTTTTTTGCTACACTATAATTTACAATTATGTTATGCAACCATTGTTTTTTTAAATGAACTATTCACATTCACATACTGCCAGTTTGCCATTCAAAGGGTCATTTTTATCCAGGAAAAGTTATAAATTATAGTGCAACAAAGAAAATAATTATAAAGTATACTAGGTACTTAAAAATCACAAATCTTTTAAAACTAATGAAAATATCACAATTCACATGTTGGGATGCTTGTACTTTCATTACATAAACACTAAATATTATTGAAATTGTCCAAGACAATTGCACATAATAAGAGAATATATAAAATGTTTAAATATATTTGTCAACTAACGACCGGATGTAGTCTATATTGATTCCCCAAAGTATTCAAATTGTGATATGTACAATAAATGTAATATCGATGCACAGCAAAACCCATTTGAGATAGCTTACCACTATAAATTGTCTTTAATATTTGTTATTAAATCAAAAAAGTTTTCATGATGGACATTTATAGATAAACCATCATTTCACTTCCATTCCATCATTTCACTTCCATTCTTATTGAATCAGTTGTAACATTCATTAAAACCATTTTCACAAAAATAACCCTTGATTGATCCTTTTTCCCCACAAGGATTTATATCACTAATTTTTAAATTTTTTCACGAGTGGCAAAACACTCAAAAAAGCCAATAAGGAATCAGGAAAGCTAAGTTAAAAGTAAGAAATAGGTATATCTAATAACAAATCTAAAAATGAAGTAAAAATGCATTTGAATAAATGTAAGGGCTAGTGCAAGGGTCGGCAACTGGCGAACCGCGGTCCAGGTCCGGACCGCGGAAGGTAAAATACTGGACCGCCAAAAATTTTTTGAAAGTATAAATTACTCAAATAAATTATTTAAAAAATGTTTTTTACATTTAAGTGCCAATTTTATAATTTTTTCTAGTATTTTACAATTATGTGAGTGTTTTGAGTTCTTAATTAGTAAGCAGATTAAATTTGAGTCCAAATTAAAATAAAAAAATAAGAAATATGAATTTTTTTTCTGGACCTCGTTAAAAATTTTCAAAGCATCCGGACCCCACCTAAAATTCCTTGCCGACCCCTGGGCTAGAGTATTGAGTGTAGTTGTATTCAAAATAAATAAGTTTTTAAATCTTATTTTGATAAATAAATGAATCAATAAATTATTATTCCCTTTTAGATTTATGATCAAATAAATTACGTATATTATCAGGAACGAATTTTTGTTTTTCAAGTGACACCTTTATGGCTCCTATTTATCAAAACATCTTTTAAAAAAAATTCTTTCAATTTAAAGCAGTAAGTAACACACAATTCACATTACTTTAATTAGTAGTTGAAAATGTATTTAAGATAAAATTTTTCTTAATTGCATATTAAAACTGGAATATAGTATAAAATTTATTGACTGCTTTATAACATTCATAAAACTTGGAATTTGGATTAAATACACATTGAATTGTTACAATGTATATATATATATATATATATATATTTTTTTTTTATTATAAGCCCCTTTACCATTTCCGCTTNTATATATATGGGATATATAGAAATCGTTTAATGTTAAGAAGAAATGTGCTTATAGAAACTCCAAGAAGCTATTAAAGACATTATAACATTATCCTCATTCGATGATAAACATTAAAATTTGCTCTACAGTATGTAAACATAAGAGCACAATGAAAAATTGACTTAGTTTTACCACAAACCGTCAAGTGATTAGAACTATGTAGCAGGCTTGTAGAACCTCTGTACGAATTGTGTTAAATTCAATACTTGACCAGGCCCCTTCGAAGTATCCATTTGAATGTAGTCTTCCAGATTGTGGTCACTCTCTTGGGGAAAAGCAATGCTTCAGTAATAATAAGTTAGAATGAGCAGTACTTACTTGTTGTTTGTATCGCTGGATAATTTGGCGGGGGTTTGATCCAGCTGCCATCAGATCGTTTCATGTGCCTTCTATCCGAAGCAAATTCTTTTAAAAATTCATTAGCCGGTATGACTCTGAAATACCTGAGCAAACCATAATTGTTAACACACAAAAAGATCAACAAATAAAAACAGAATATTTTTACCTAAAATAATCTGGTTTGAGGATATGATCCGTACGAAATGTTTCTGTTACATATTTATGTACGTAAGTGGGAAACGGTAGCTCTGAATCCAGATCATAAATGAGACATTTTTCTGGCTCTGGATGGTATAAGAATATCACATGGTAATCCTGCAAAAGAAATATGTGGAATATTTTGAGAAGACTCAGGATTGCTATCGTACCCAAATAACTAATCTGTCCTCGTCTTTTCCAGCTCTTTGCCTCCAAAGAGGCACGGTTCGACTATGATTTGATATAAACACAACATAACATTTGTTTATTTCATTGGGGTGTCTTGAGATAACATCTTGAGCTAACTTGTGGACGTTTTCCTCGCTATAACAAACGTTTACGAATGTAAATTGAACAAAAAAAAATATATTCATTATGCAAAATATTAAGAATCGTTCGAGGCCGAGGATACTTATAGCGATATCGTCACATATTGTTTGCCGTATTATTTACGGTTACAATTAGCACCCACTACGGACTAAATGTTATAAAATAAAATGGTTTTGATCTCTATCATATAATTAAATCATTTTGGTATAGTATTTCTTGGATTAAAGGATAACGAGTTTAGGTAACTTTTGTCATAAAACTAGATCTACAACGACAACGCTGTTAAAGGAAACATTATTGGGTTATGCATTACATTACAGAGAAAATAAAACAAAAAGGACCTAAATGATTTCTCCTTCACTGCAGAAATATGTTAGAACTGCGACAATTTTGACGACTGATGGAGACGACTTCAATATGTTACATTAATTAACATCATAAATCATGTGACGCCACCAAATTATTCTTCCCGTTTTCCCTCTAAAGTTCGAAGTATTTATGATTTTGAATTTCTCATAAAATATTGCAATATTTTTAATGGAATTCTCTTACCACTCCAGTCGAAACACGGCCGTGATTTCCATATCGTCGGTACAGGGCAAAGCACAGAACTAGTTTCAAACGGTGCTGTTCGTGGGTACGCCTCGCGCGTTCACTCATTCAATCTGATTAGCCTTCCTGCCTATAAATATTTAATTAGTACAGGCCGGCATGGTGGAATTGTATGTATGTATTTCATTTACCAAACGATGAAATCAGGGCCGGATCGGAGAACTTTCATACAAATATGTAATTAGTACTTAGGTAAATTTATAAAAGTCTTAGCCCTAACTTAATCTTAGTCTTTGCCTTAAGAAGTTATACTATTTGAAGTGTTACTTTATAAAAATCCTAACCTAACCTTAGTCCTATAAAGGTTTTAAAACCTGACTGAAACTTTCTATATTTTAACTTCTTAATACTTGGTTGTTTTACATTGAGAATTTCTTCGTGAATAATAATAATTCGTCAATTTATTCGGATTGGTACATTGTTTTAAAATTTATAGTAATTAAAAACAGATAGAAAATAATTACATTTTCTTTAATAAATGAAACGTTTTAAATTAGATAACATGAAAAAATGTTTACCAGTTTCAGCCTGACTACTTACCAAAAATGTGCTAAAGTAAATAGTGATCTTAACCTCACTATTTTTGTTGGTAAAAAACCTCATGATTCCGACTTCTTCATGAAGCGATTTCACGCAGAAATTCGCAGTGTAAAGCAGATATTAGGACTACGACTAATGCTACAAGTACGCGTACGCAAAAGTCTGTCATTGGATGGCCTATTCGTAAGATTAGCTTAAGGTGAGTTATAAAAAAGCCTTAGCACTAACTAGTCTTAACTTAGCCTTAATTAGCAAGTAAATATACAGATTTCAATGTTTTAATCTTAAGAAGATATCAAAGACCTGACCTTTAAAGTCTTATCTCCTAACAACTGCCCGCCAATCGCAGCACCCATGGTACTACAAAGCCGACATGATCTAACTGATTATGTTTTATTTAACTTATAACTGTTTTACATTGACAATTTATTGATCAATTAATTCATGAAGTCGCTTCATCAAGAAATTGCACAACTGTAATGCACCAAATCTTCTGTCAAATAACTTCATGACTTGATGAATTTATTCATCAAGTTCTTGACGAATTAGAGCATGTTCTAATTTTCGTCAATTTCTTCGTGAAGTTCGGAAGTACCAACCCAACGGTTCCGTGAGCCGGGTCAATTGAGCCGAATTTGTCATGACTATCCCTTCCCTTTTTTTCTTTCTAGTACACTGCGAACCGTGTAGCCGAGTGAACGTATTGCGTAGTTCACTTAATACAATTATTAAACGGATAACATAAAATAGATTGTTTAATAGAATTATGTATTATTTTTATACAAATATATTAGAATCAATATTTTGTTGATTATTAACTAGCAATTTAGAAAGCACGTAAGGAAAAAAAAGAAAATTTTGAAATTAATTTTTGTTTTTGTTGTATATATTTTTTGAATTTATTTTTTTGTATTTATTTGAATGAAAATTTGTTTTCACTACTTATTTATCATTTGAAAAAGTAGCGAACAATACAAATAATACACCTGATACCGGCACCGTATGAATAATTGTGCGAGTGCGGGTGCACTACTCTTGATTTCGGTTCACCACTTCCGACATTCGACGCAAAGATCCGAGAGCCGGGACGGATCTTTGAGAAGGAACCGGTTCACTCGGCTCAGTGAGCCGAATCAGTCATGTTCCGCCCATCTCTAATTCATATGTCAAAAAACTTGACAGTCTATAGCAGTGTAAAACCACACTGTTTACCAATAAATTCGTGAATTAATTCATGAAGAACTTCGTCAATTTATTCATCAATAAATTGACGAAGTTCTTCATCAATTAATTCACGAATTCATTGGTAAACACTTACCAACACATACGTCAAAAAACTTTGTCAAGTTTTTTGACGTATGAATCAGTTCTACCAATGAATCAAAGAAGCAAATAAATTTCAAAATGTCACCTTTCCACGCATAATTGTAGTGATACAACAGTGGTACCGTTCTGACACATTATATAAATATTAGTTTTTGTAAATAACAAATCAGTAAAAACAATGCAAAACTAGCCCGACGCCACGCAATTATTTACATATTCCAATAACATAACCTCATTATTGATCTGAGGCTGGAAATCTGTTGGGTTGGTACTTCCGAACTTCATGAAGAAATTGGCGAAAATTAGAACATGCTCTAATTCGTCAAGAAGGAACTTGATGAATAAATTGATGAAGTTATTTGACAGCTGATTTGGTGCATTACACTTGTCCAATTTCTTGATGAAGCGACTTCATCAATTAATTGATCAATAAATTGTCAATGTAAAACAGCTTTTAGGACTGAGGCTAATACCATAAGTACGCATGCGCACATATCCGTCATTGGATTGCCAATTCTTTAAGATCTATATGAAGAACACATTTTTATAAGCGCTGTAAAAATATCAGGTTAAGATTAAGATAAGATGTTCAGTTAGGACTAACAGAATAATCAATTTGATGATTGATGCATTTTAAAATCTAAATCACTGTTAATTTTTGTAGAAATTTTAGATGGAATAATGTAAGAACTTAACCGACTTGCATTGTTAGGAACAGAAAAATTACATTTATAAAATAAAATATGTGCTCAATGAAGTATATAAAGGGTTTATGTTGACACGCAAACTTGTGATGCTGCAATGACAAGAATAACATGATATTCCTTAAATCGAGATCTATTTTAGTAGCCAAACGGGTGTTGTCAGCACTTACAAAGCTCAACTCTGTACTCTGTACGCTCGCTCGCTTCGTGGCATGTTAGAAAGTCATAAAATAATAAATTTATTGTTCATAATAAATCGATACATTCTGCACACAACTGCACTACCGTTTAGAGCGTGTTATTATTCGGGCGCAAAGTTAAATAATAAAAGCGGTAATGATAGGGCTCATGATAGGTTAATTTCTGCTGTGAATTTATTTTGTTGCTGGCACGATCCTTTTTGTATTTGACGCAATCATTTCATGACCACAAAATGCCGTTTTACACGAAATACTAACTACCAACTAGGAATATCAACAGGAAACTTGCTTTAGCAGCAACTTTTCTACGGTTCTAACAAGCAGAGTTGTAATCGTTTTATCATACGGTTGCAGTTACATAAAGTTTATAATAGTTATAAAAACAATCGATTTATAAATAAATAAAAGGAAAAACTACGTAAAAAAATGCCACAAATGTCGACAGTATGGACAAAGTTTACAGATTCTGTAAACTTTGGTATGGACTTGCATTTTCGAAAAAAAAACGCTAAACATATTTACCAATAATTTTGTATATCAAGAAACAGTTCACACTGAAAATAGTATCTTTTGTAACTGTAGGTAATTTAAAAAACTAAGAAGTATTTAAATTGATCTAGAAATTTAAGCCAATGAGTGAATTTAATCAATTGAACACAAATTTGGGCGAATGAGGAAGAACAAACTAATTTATCCTTTGTTATAAATCAAAAGTTAGGTTAGAATTAGAACTGCAACATTTTTATTATAAATACACAAGCTTTGTTTACGTTTTGTATTGTACACGAACTAGGTGGGTACCTACTTGTTGATTTTTTCTTGGCTCCAAATTAAAAGGCAAGATCAATAGAGGTGTGACACTATGTAGGGCAAGTTGAAGCTTGGTCTAATTTATTCCTCTAATAAATTAAAATTACAGGATGGTCTTACTCCTAAGAATTTTTTCGTACTGTGTGAAATATCAATGTGTAGCAGAATTTTCGTATCTCCTTGTCTGACTGCGAGAGTATGTAGTATAGTTTGTTTATTATTTCTCTAATGTTACTTAGAATAAGGAACAAGCCAGAACGTTTTCTTTCATATTTTCTTATTAATCGTTAGACGTAGATATTTATTTACTTCGTCGATTGAATCCTACTTACCAATAACAAGACACATAGGAGCATTCGGATTGTTTTGAAAACAGGTTGATTAGAGACTTCTTAACGTTCTCGGAACTGGGTCGTTGTATGATCTGATTCTGCGAATCGGAAGCCATATCAGAATGAATTACGTAATAAGACAGCGGACACAGAACACCGATTTCCGTTAGTACATTTACGACACAACACAAACTGACCTTTTATTCAGCTTAATGCTGCATCGCCTGCGACGCCGACGCAGTTTTTTCTTCCCGAATCTCGAGTCTTGACAGCTATCCGACCTTGGGCGTGCGCAATGCGTCTTGCGGCAGGCCTACACGGGCGCGAAAGTGTTAATCTGGGACAGTGGCGGGCGGGTCACCCTATGAATGAATTGATGAATGAAGACGCATCATCAGCATCACATCCTCAGCGATCAGCCACATATGTATGATACAGTGGCGTACACGAAATTCTACCGTGAGGGAGGTTAAAATTCGTTCCTTGTAAGTAGGATAAAATGTCTCCCATACACACACAAAGGAAACTTGACAAATAAAAAAAAAATCTTCAAGAAGCCGTTTATACATATACCACAACAGGTACATTATGATCAGTTGCGACTGGTACGGGGGTAGGGGGGGTGGGGGGGTAGTAAAAAAATTTTATTTAAAATTTATTAGTTTACAATGTTATCTGGATAGTTAAATTGGTTAACCGTATGAAACACGTTAAAATGGAATTGTTAAATTTTGTAATGTGCAGTCAATTTAACTCGATTCGCAAAATTCCTTTGAAAAACTGTGAATACGTGGGTTCCGCGTAGCTAGCTCCTACATCTGTAAAGTTTTTACAACGGTGGTCATGGTTATACCTTCGCGCAGCAGTGAAAAATGGAATGGGAGGATATGTACTCTGTTTAGTCCGACCGTAATCCAATAGTAGCTATTCACGGCTTTTTTTTCTTATTAAACGTAATTTGTTCAGGTGTGATTAAAATTTTGTTACTTACGCATCTATTGCTTCTTGTATATTTTTTTAAAAGATTGTAAAAGTTTGCATTGCAGCAGATTTTCCATCACATATGTTCTCTCCAGATATGACAAAAAAAAATCTAAGAAAACCTTTATTTTTGAATTTGATAATATAATTCGGAACACGGAGCCGTCGTCCACAAATGTTTTCAATTAACAAATACAGAGTGATTCAGAATTTATCCAAAAGGGGACCCTTACAAATACAATTTTGTAAAGAAAAAATCAAAAAGGTCAGTTCGAAATTGATTTAAAAATACACTTCTGCACGGCACTGGAAACTGGTCCACTGTAAAACCTGACCTCGCACAATGCTACCGGTATGGCGGCGTGATAAAAACGGACAAACACTTTCACAAGGAAAGAAATATGTAAATAGAATTTTATCGCACCTATTTTATATCGGCAAATTCAAATGCTTTTGCCTTTATTAATTATTAATAAAATTAATTTGTGTTTTTAAATAATAAAATCATTTGACATACCCGATGCTGCAACAGCAATTGTTCAAAATTTTATCCACTCACGTGTAAACACATTTGGGTCCGTCTTACTCACTTTCTACGAACTAACACAAATGATGTCTTGTTTCACCATAACACAAACGCTTCACCATAAATTAAAACGATATCCATCAACTCCGAGTACACGCAAACCATTTTTGACACTAACTACCCATTTTTGACACCAACTACTAAAAACGTATTATAAAAACCACAGATAACAGGTAAATATCGCAACGACGATTGCAAAATCCGAATTCAGTATTCGGAGTCGATGAGGCCACGTGGCGAATGATGCTCGAGACTACAGTTGTCCAGCTATGTAGTGGTTTAATGTGCTATAACTTCAATATTTTTTTCCTCAGAAACTATAAGGATTTTACAAATTTTTTTTTACAATATTGACTCCACTTCTCATGCCGCATCTATTCCCAAATTTTTTTGGATAAGTTGTGAATCACCCTGTATATTAATTCTTGTCTACAAAAGGCTGCCCTAAGTACAATAATGGTAGTTTGCAATTAAATGATAATATTCACAGTTAGTACCATAATCGTTGTTGTGATCCTTAACATAAATAACTATTTTTTAAATATTCCTTCATTTCATGCAGCGACATGAAATTATATGTAACAATCCCAGAAAAATACGGTCAAAAGAGATGTGTTTGTTACAAAAAGCAAGCCGCTAGGTAACTAACTCATCAACGTGTCCATAAATGATCTTTTCTTTTTAGAGTCCAAAGATGAAGTTCTTACATCAATCGGGTCACCGTATACAATGGTATATAATAGTTCTACCACAAGCTGTGGTATACTTGAAACTTCCAATGGCGTACCATAAAATGAAAATACTTTGTTACCTTGTGAGGGGAAGAACCAGAACAATAAATGCATACCTATCTGATGGTTTCATCTTGAAACTTCATGAATCACTTCTATTGTTTTTGCAGTAGTTGGATATTTCAGTTTGCTTATTAAGTTTTAAAACTGCAATTATTAAATTACAGGTAGGTATCCTACATTTTTTATTGGTTGAAAATTAACAAGTCATAGTTCTTGTTCATTGCACAAAAGAAACAGACTTAGATATTCAAAAATAAGTAAAAGTATATTCTATAATCAATTTGTAAAATAAAACATTTTACCTAGGTACATTTTTTTCATGAATTTCGAAAATTAAGAGAATTGAAAATAACTGAGAGATTGCTGTATAACAAAGTCCCTCAAAGTAACTACAGTTGAATTAAAGAACATCACATATCTCCATTCCAATTTCATATTTTATTTTGTTAAGTTTCTGCGAATATATATTGTACTTATTTCTATATGTACAATTATATGTATATAACAAAATAAATTTTTGTTTACGCAAAAAGTATCACTTTTTGTGATGACGTAAACATTGAAACCTTTATTAAAACAAAGGCACAGAATTGCGAGAATTATTATCACAATGTTTTTATTGATAAGATAACGAATGTCGGTAAACTGATTTGTTTTTAATTGAGCATGACCATAGAAATTTTTTATAGAAATTTTGAGAAAATATTAAGTTAATATTTAAGTGAAGAGAAAATATTAAAACCCTTTAATATTTAAGTGATGTTAACGATTACGTAGAAAATGGTGTTACTATTACTAGATCTAGCAGTTAAAGTACAAGGTAGCTGATCGTTTCTAACCACAGTTTAATGTTTTTGGTACAATAGTTAATATTTTAAAAATTTGTGGCAAGGGATCACTCACCTATGTATGGAAAATGCTATTAAAATTCACAGTGGCGTGTTACGTTCGATAAGAGATAATATTTTATTTCCAAAAATCAACTCAAGATTAAAGTAAAGAATAACAGGTGATCACATATCTCGGACACATTTCTAATCTCACTGCCTCCGCCTGTGCATTTGTTACAGATTATAATTATACTCCTCTGACAGACTGCCTCCGCCTGTGCATTTGTTACAAATTATAATTATACTCCTCTACATATACATTTACGCGACAGCAATTAAGAATCTCTAGCTGTGACGATCGGCATTTGTCGCGCTCTAACCAAGCTCGCGGCTGATCGTGGGTGAATCACACCTGTAGTCTGTAGCCGCATGGTATTGGGTGCAGGTGACACCACTCCAGTGCACCTAACACGCTGCGGATCTCTTATCGCTACTTTCTTCTGGCCATCGTCAGTTTGCTGCTTTTCTTCGGTCTGTGTGGAAGTGCCCGGTGCGATCTTTGCATGCCCTCTGACAAGTCGTGACCAGTCGGAATGGGGGTCATCTACCACAGAAACCTGATAAATCGCCAGATCAAATACGATAGGAGATTGATCTGCAACGTGAAAATACATCCCGCTATTTATGATAAAAGCCACCCTGCTTACAGCAGCATATCCGAGAGGAAAAGGGTTTGGGACTTGATTGCTAAAAATCTTCAAAGTTCTGGTAAGCCTTCTTTTTTTGAATTTCATTTTTGGGGAACAACATCAAAATGTTTAGTTATCACAACAATAATTACTATTGTAATATTATGAAATAGGAATCAGATAAGGTGATCATACCACTAATATTACCTACTGTAAATAAATATAGAGATTATGTTTATTGTTTTCTTTTATTTAATCAAAATCGTACACAGTAATAATTATTTTAATGTTGTGCACACTTTATCATATTTATTTTTTTAAGTTTATTTTGAACAAATTTAAGCTGTTACATATACAATTTTATGCTTAGACAAATTGTACTTTATTTTGCAACATTCTATATTTACCCGATAGGTATATATATTTATTTTCAACATGTTTTACGTAACAAATGTATAACAATAAAATGTAAATATAATTTATTCTATATCTTATAAAGAGATCATTAAATCATTTTTTGGAAATTATTTTTCTTTTGCCTTGAGATAGTCATTTTAGAGTCAAGGTCAAAGAGTCAATGATCCGTATTTGTGAATCACTTAATGACTAGGTATTTTTAAGAAATGTTTATATGCATATATTAGTAGACTGAAATTTGTCGCAATTTTCTCCTGAGGTACACTATGTAAACACGTAATCTTAATTTTTTTAATATCTAAGTATGCTAATATCCATATGTGGCAATTCTTTTTAACTCCGGTCCTGTTCAAGTGTTCTATCATTTCTGCAGTAAGGACTAAGGAGGTCCAGCCAAAATGACAAGTGCCACATTCCTGTATTAATGACATCACTCATTTTTTGCAGTTTTGGTTATATTCGTAGGAATTAAGCTTTCTTTTGTATATTTTTCTCATACTTTTCTTTCTCTTTTGTTTATTCTTTTTAATGTGAGTATTTCTGATAAGAATTATTCCGTAAATACATTAAATACATCTATCTACGAAAAATTTACAGTGAAAATAACAGGATGTTGGTTACGGTAACGTACGTATTTTGACTCATGCAAATGATATTCCGGGAATTACGCACTTGAGAATAAATTTTTGGATTCCTTGGATTCCCCATTCAACACTAGCAATATTAGCATCAAGTTTTAAACAATCTTTTCTAGTGTCATATAAATACATCCATCTGTTATTTATATTA